ATTATTATTATTATTATTATTATTATTATTATTATTATTATTATTATTATTATTATTATTATTATTATTATTATTATTATTATTATTATTATTATTATTATTATTATTATTATTATTATTATTATTATTATTATTATTATTATTATTATTATTATTATTATTATTATTATTATTATTATTATTATTATTATTATTATTATTATTATTATTATTATTATTATTATTATTATTATTATTATTATTATTATTATTATTATTATTTACAAATACCTTGAAGCCATTTCCTTAAGGCTTTGTTATTGATACCCACTTAGAGACATCAAAGTAGAATAAAAATCCCTTTCCATTTACTGTTCCTGTTAAGTTTTAGATTTTATTTCTCCTTTGCCTTACAACAGCACCGGCTTTATCAAACCTAACAATCCACCGAGGAAGTATTTGGGCTAGACAGGACTCAAAGGAGATCAAACCCCTCCCGCTTGCTTCCTTTGAGCCTCAATTCTGCTCAACCTTACAGATTTATCGTTTGGAGACTTAACAGATGATTACCAAATCCACCTTACCTATGCGTTAAGCCCAGTAATAACAACCCACGAGGGAAGACGAGGCCAAATGTTCAACACATGCAAAGCTCACACCTGCCTGGCCACCTGGGTCTCCCACAATACATGATAGTCAACATTATAAGCCTACAGGATATAGTCCACCAGATGCCATTTTTTCCCTTCCTGCAGGACCATATTAACCCATGGCTGGGCCTCTAGGCTTTCAGGTATTTTGGGCCTCCTCTGGCACTTCAGTCTTTCACTCTCCCTACAGCTGACAGCCTCACCCTGACTATATTCATTTTGAGGGTCTCCTGAAGAATTCTATTGGCATTTAAAAATATTTTTATTGCATGAGTAGAACTCTTCAGGAAAGCACATTTTGGGGGTATCATTGTTCAATAGTGTAATATTTTGAAGTGAATATTTTGTCATTATTAAAAATATATAATTTATGGATATAAGAAACAATTTGTTTCATTGCAATAAGGAAGCAGTTAATTATCTTATTAATAGAAGTTATATAAGAGAATCAATTAAATGTAATCCTGACTTGTGCTTGTACATGTTGGCTGTCATTTGTTCTTTTTAAAAATTTATAAATAATGTTTTGGCTGGTCTCAATGACCATAGGAATGCTTGACCACACATGATTAAGGTCACTAGACTGTATTGCTCATGGATAAGTAATAAGGGAGGACGGGTAACATGATATCACAACCTTGATGATAGGGTGCTATTGGTCTGTTGTCCATCCCCAACTCCCATTATCTCAAAAACACTCAGCTGACTATGAGTGTGCCTTGCAAATTTTTAGTTTTTACATAACAATGGCATTAAAATTGTGTGTGTGTGTGTGAGAGAGAGAGAGTGCTTATATGAGAGTATATATATGAATAAATATGTATGTACACATATTGCTACTGTGCAGAGTAGCAATATGTGTTCTGCTCAGAATGCTGAGTGACACCCTTCCTGCTAAGAACTTTACAATCAGTGAGTCTGAATTTCCCACTGGTGTGGACAAGGTCTTTTGCTTTTTGGGTGCCAGAGCACCACCAAATGAACCGTACATGCGCATGAAGTAGAGCTCTCTCGGATAGATGGGAAGAACAACACTTTTCATCTGCAGGATGAGTGGTAAATAGACATGGGAGCTTTGTACTCATATCCTGGGGGATGCAAATACAAAGTGCAGTATCACAGGTGCCACAGAGATCAATTCCCTGCCCCCTAGAACCATAACAGTCCATTCATCGGACTTTGTGTGGCATGTGTGGCTGTCACTAGTAACATCACACCAATCATGGAAGTAGCCTTTGGAGTGGGATACAAATTGAATAAATAAATAAATATAAATAAATAGCCTGCCTGGCACTTCTTCACCTCCCTGCAATGCTGACCACTCTGGCAAGGAGGTGGGATGATAAGTCTCTCCACTTACCTGTTGGGTGGTCAGCAGCACAGGGAGGCACTGGCCAGGGTAGATACACGATTGGTGTGATGTATCAGACAATAGCCGTGTACATCACACAAAGCCCAGTGAGTAGACCAGTGAGTTCTGGGGGGAGGGTCGAAAGGGCCTTGTCATCTGTAGTGGCAATATTCCTATTTGTCTTCCCTGGGATATGAATACAAATACCCCCTCTGTAGCGGCAAATACATGAACAGAAAACCAAATTGGCCACAGGCTAATGGTAACTGCCCCGGAGTGGAGCAGGTGAAGTGTCATTGGAAGAAAGATCCCAAATGCCTTTGCAAATGCTTTGCTTTAACTTAGAAACAAATACTATACTGTATTAAGAATATACTTTTGTCTAAAATCTTTAGATTAAAAATTGAGGGTCATCTTATACATGGAAGTAAGGAGGGGGGGAGGGATCAAAGTGCTTTGATCCCTGCTTTTCCCCTCCACTTTCCTGTGAAGAAAGTGCTTTCCTCCTCCACTTTCTTCACAAGAAAATGGAGGGGGAAAGCAGGAATCATCGAAGCACTTTGATCCCTGTCTTCCTCCTCCACTTTCTTGCGAAGAAAGAAATGTTGGGTTAAAAAGGGAGGGTCTTATGCATGGGGGCATCTTGTACACTGAAAAATACAGTATCTTTAGCAAAAGGCATTATTTTTTATAAATCATCAAACTATTCACACACACACAAACACCTTAATTCCAAATACTGTACAATGTAAAAAGTCCAACAATTGCTTATACATTTCCATGGGTAAATTCTACAGAATGTAGATTACTGTACAATGTGCCTGATAACCCACTGGCAGAGCTACATTGCATAACTTGGATGATATCACCAGCTGCAGTCATGCTGTGGCCATTTCAGGGCACTTTAAAACATCCTAGTCCTCCCCCGCCCCGATTCTGGGGATTAGCAGCAGCAATTTCCAGCTTTTAATCATTCCCTAACTCATTCCAGTTCCAGGCTTCTCAAAGGCTTTCCCATGATGAAGGGGGTCAAGTAGGGATTCTTAGAACCTGTGAGGGACAAGGAAGCTCTGAACTGCCCTGAAGCAGCCATGGCATGGCCACATCTGATAATATCATCCAGCATAAATTTAAAAACCAGAATTTTAGCCAGTGATTGTTATCCTTTCAGCATATGCTAGACATATATGTTAGTTTTTTTAAAAAAAAATAACTGAAAATGACAATTGAGTTATAAGAAAGATTGCTCTCCAGGACAGAACTGAATGCATATATTTTAAACAATACTGCACAACTTAAATTCAGTAGTACTTTCACTACTGAGGTTGTACTACTTTGGGCACATCATGAGAAGATAGGATCCTCTGGGGAAGACAATAATGCCAGGAAAGGTTGAAGGCAGCAGGAGGAGAGGAAGACCAAATACAAGATGGATTGATTCAACAAAGGAAGCCATGAGTTTGAATTTACAAGAGCTGAGCAGGGCTGCCTTGCATTATAAATAAATAAATAAATAAATAAATAAATAAATAAATAAATAAATAAATAAATAAATAAATAAATAAATAAATAAATAATCCTACTTTTCATTGGCTGTCCTGGTATCTGACACAGGAAAAAGCACCTGGGAGGCAACAAATATATTGGCTGAACTTATGTTGCCTAGCAAACTAAGTTGCAACTATAGTAGCCTTATTTGAATCAATGGAACATATGGAGAAAAGGGACTCACAAAATCCATACTGATTCACTGGGCCTACTCCAACTGCAACTTCCTATGTTAAACAATAGAATTTCAATTATTTCATTTCCTCAAAAATTTGTTGTTCATCTTTGATTTGAGTTTTAACTTCCCTGAGGTTATAATTTCTGATAAACTCATTTCAGTCTTTGGAAGTGTACAGTCGCTAAGTATGTTGAGCTAGAGAAGTTCACATTTAGTTTTCAAAAATTCTGTAATTCATATTGCGTATCAAGTTTCATATTAAGACAGAGAGGTTTGTACTGTACTTAGAAAGGTTAACTCAAACTCGATTGTGTTTTTGAAACAATACCAATACAGTGTATCTTTTTTTACAAGGAGACCTTTTGCTGGCAACAAAGAATCTTTAACAATTCCAATTTCTTTGTTGCCTCTGACTTATATAACTTTTGCAACCATGAGTTCCCGATGTTGAAGGCAACTTTGGGCTCAGTTTTTATTTCAAGACTTTGCTACTTTCTGCCAGTAAATGTGTGATCTGCATGCCCCATGTATTTGTAAGGAAATCTATGGCTCTTGTTTTTAAACGAATACCAACTAAATCAGTACGCATTGTTTCCACGTGTCTTTATTTCTAATTTACTCCAAAAACTCTAGGTCTGCAAGGTATTTTGCTTATCCTGTCGTCAAAGCAGCGAGTAAAATACGATCAATCGAATGACCACTGTTAAAGGGAGAGGAAGGGAGTTACAGGAACCAATTCCGAAACGCCCGCCCGACTTCGGAGTTCCTACTTGACCGAACAGGAGTAAAGCCAAGAAGAACTAGATAGCCCTTTCTTCCTCCCAGGCCATTCCTGGGCCAAGGTGTTCCGCTGGGGATGGGCTTCCCCGGCAGGAGACCCTTCCCGCCAACCGACTCTCCAGCGGAAAGTGTTCCTTCCCTTGAGCGCAGCGCCTTCTTTTGCCCTCCGGTCTTGTGACGCTCGGGGCTGGCGGCCATCTTGTCTCGCTGGCGGGCGATGGGGCGGCGTTTTAGCCCCGCCGCCTTCTCATTCCTGTCGTTCCTTGCCCTCTTGAGAGAAGCCGTGCCCCAAGCTCCCCATGCCAAAAACTCGACACACGGTGAGCCCGGCCTTTCTCTCCCTCCGCGACGCGCACACGAGTGGTGGGAAGCGTCGAAGGAGGCGAGCTTGGGAGAGGAAGGCAAGGCTCTCCGAGGGCCAGCACGCCGCGAAGGGGAAACGAAGCGCGCCCGCGCGGGAGCCAACCTCTCGGGGAAGGGAGGGCTCCGGTGGGAAGCTGTGGGCAGAAAGGGCGGCTCCTGGCAGCCGTTCGTGGAGGAGGAGCAGAATGTTCGGTTAGAAATAGGAAGAACTCCTCCTCTCTCCGAGGGTTCAGTGTACAATATAGAAGGATGGTTAACGAGAGTACACGGGGTGGGATCCGCTCCCGAGAAAGAGGTCCTCCTCCTTCCCTGGTTTCGCACCGCCGGGAGGCCGAAGCCCAGGGATGTTTTGTGGGAATCCGTTTCCCCAAAGCTGCGAGGTGAACCCGCTGGCAGATGGGTCTCACCTCTGCGCCTGCTGGAGTCTGGGGGGCTTAGAGTAGCCTCTTTTGGAAATACAAAGAGTGGTCATATCGACCAGATAGGCGGGATATAAATAGAATAAATGAATAAATAAATAAATACCAGTCCCCCCATGGAAAAGCTGGCTGAGCAGGCACACGATTTACGTGCCGCGGTGTGTGAGGGAATATTGCACGTTCCTGTCGCTTAGAAAGGACATCCCCAGTGACTTTTTAGTGGGATATTTGAATTAAAGGGGACCAAAATGTGAATATTTAGATTTATGACCCTCTCCGTTTGAGCAGCTCATTATGGCAGCCATTAGTTCGTTTTTATCCTTCTGTACCATTATCAGGGAGCAAATTTAATTGAAAACTGTGAAACTTATTAATGGGTAGGAAGAATTATAGTGTTAGTCTTGTTGAAGCGGTTTTCTGAACTTTGTGGCACTGGTTTCTTGGAAACCATGCTTTGAAAAGTATAGAGCAATTTAACAAAACAGGTTTTTCCTCCTTTCCCCCTTTCCAGGTCTGTCCTTACCTCCCACAGTTGCATTTAGGGGCAGGTGACTTCCTGGACTGCCAGAATGGGGAAATGGAGATGGGACTGTCATGGGCTACCAACTATCCAGTGATTTAATGCTAAAACAGAAAGTAGAAATGATTCATTTTCACATGTAAAGGTGGCAACTCTTGAGTTTCACAGTAGTCATCGCAATATTATTATGTGTTCTTTTAAATGAAAAGATTTACAACATCTGTATCATTCAACAGTGGTCATGAGTGATTGACCAAGATCAGATCAAGTAAGTAAGTGCATGTAATTATGCTGCTTAATCTGATAAGTCCTTCCTGTCAGTTATATATCAGGATAGTAAAAGAATCAACAAATACTATTGAAAAATTAAACAAATAGAGGTGGCTGGGAGTTCATTACTTGCTTTACCTGGAATTAACCCCTGCACTTTCTCAACACTAAAAAGGATTAACTCACAGTAAGATCCCTGGTTGGCAAACTCTCTTTAAGGATTTTCCCCACCTAACTGTCTAGATTACACCAGATTTTGTGTTTTGTGAAGCATAGCTTTTGTCAGTGCACAGGTAATGTGAAAACAGTTGACAGTGGAGGATGGAGAAGGGACAGTGATTCACAGCCATACATTGACTCATAATTTGCACAGCATGATTTGGAGGAAGCTGTTGTTACATATTATGCATACATTTATAAGAGCAAATCATGTGATGTTATTAGATGTATGTGCCATCTGTAATTTTTATGACATTCCAATGTTATGCCTGATGTACCAGAATGTGCTCCTAGGCTGTGGGTCTCAAAATGGCCTCGGATTGTAAGTGCAGATGATCCTATGCCTTGGGCATGATCATGTCAAGTTAGCCTTCAACTTTTTTGTACAAAATATAGCTATTTATAAAGTCGATCATAATTTCCCATTTATATCAGGTATTACTTTGGATTTCCAAATAATGTGGATGACAAAACCATATTGAAACATAAAAGTCACAGACTAACTTGCATCATCATTCACCTTTACAAATGCGTGTTATGGAAAAGCTGTTGATTTTTTTTCTTCCCAACTTCTGATAACGAAGTGATACAGAGGTTCAGCTCATTCTGCATGGTTTAAACTCCCCATCAGAAAGTGGCCCACTAACAAGTGCTGTGTTACACTGATAACTGATTTAAAACTGAAAATCTGCTTAGCATCTTTTCTACATTTATTTCTGTTTAATACACATTATGTTTTTAAAACACTTGCAAGAAACAGTTCATCCTTGTGATGTAATCATGTTCTCATTTCTAGAATGTGGAACAAGGCCAGCTGTGGGCCTTGAAACAGGGCCTCGGATTGTAGGTGGACATGATACTATTCCTGGGGCATGGCCATGGCAAGTTAGTCTTCAACTTTATGAAATTGGTCTAGGATATATCCATTTATGTGGTGGATCATTAATTAGTAACAACTCAGTGTTGACAGCAGCACACTGCACAAGAGCAACAATGTAAGTATCTTTTTTTTTCAAAATCTTTTTGATTCCCTTTCCTTCTCCTTCCTTCCTTCCCTTCCTCCCTTCTAAGTGTGAGAACATTCCTTGCCCTGAAAAAGCTTTACACAAGACACAGGAACAGCAGTTCAGAAATTGCCTGTCCAGCAAAACAAAAGTCTGCCAACTGATTTTTTTATATGTACAGTATATAAATATAAGGGCCTGGAACAAATAGTTGCATTGCATCTCTGCCAAGTCATAGGGTGTCATTAATGACTTTGAACCAGCATGAAGCAGAAACATGTAGTCAGGGCTCAAAAGCAGTAGCAGTGTTTTCGAAGATGGGAGGAGGAGGAAAGAGGTCTGCATTTTTTAGAAACCTCACCCAGATTTGGTGTGGCTACAAGCCCTGTGTTTAAATGCTTTCAACCTGTATTCCCTGGGTGAGAGTATAATACAATCAATTATTTTGTTTAATCTTATGGTATACATTTCCCTTGTTTTAATACTTGTCTTCAGTATACTACACTGTGTTAGGGCTCTAGTCATGCTAATTCTCTTTTTCTGTTTTGTTTCCCAAAAGAACCTGCCCTTCAGCATGAATGTTGATATCTTCAGCATTTTTAGGTGCAGCTTTGCTTGTTCTCACAAGTAGCTCTATCTACTTGATTCATGAAACTAATTCCTTTACCCCAGAGCAGGGCAACCTTTTTGTAGTCATGAGGATCATGTTTAGCAATTGGCAGTCTGTCAGGGTCTGTGAGTGCACATATACACTTCATTGTAGACTCTGCACATCACCAACATAGATTTGTGAGAACTGGGGGGCAGGAAATGTACTTCCATCACACCTGCTCATTCTCAAAAGGTATTTTTCCAACTCTTCAGACAGTTCCTTAGGACTGTTGCCAGTGCTGTGGCATGGATCTTCATTTTCTCTTTTTTTGAAAATTCTCAGTTTCAAAACTTCTTTTTTGAAACTTCTCAGCTATTTGTACAAATTCTACATGGATACATGTGTTGTTTTCTTCTCATTAATTTTGCCATCACCTTTATTTTTGCACTGTAATTGCCATTTTCTGTCTTATCATTTTCTGACTTTTATTCCTTTGTGCTGCTTCATTATTGCAAGCCTGCTCTTTATGGAAGTGAAAGGCGTCTTTACAAGTGTGTGGACTGTGGGAGAATTTGCTTCATCCTGTCCAGTACGGGGATTGATGAAGACAATAATGGGGAAGGCAAAGAACTCAGACAACTGGATAGTGCTGAAGGTGGCAGTACTGCAGAAGCTAGTGTTAATGGACATAGAGCTATATACTTTTCCTTTCCTATTTCTTCCTAGAATTTTTAGGATGAAAACATTTTCTTTTTTGCTTCTTATGCTGCTCTAAGCCAGGAGATTTTACTGACATTAGTGACCATTCCTATGGTTCTCTCACAATGGCACATTTTAGAGGTGGTCCTAGGGCGGGGCAGATAACCTCCAGATTCCGTTTGTTGCAAAAGGTGTTTCCACATTCTACTGATGGGTAGGCATTACTGAGGGGTGTGTAATGGGCCACCTGAGGATACCAGATGGTATTGAATATTTAAACAGATGGCCCTTTGTCCAAGTTCAGCTGGCCACTTACATTATTTTGCTGGTATGTTTTCAATTAATTGTATTGATTTTTATTTCTGCAGTAGGTTTTACTATTCTTCCATCATTTGTTCTTAGTTTGGACCCAAACCTACTAGCTTTTACATAGAGTATGAGGCAAAAGATGACTGTACAGTCTGAAATTTGTAAAATAGCATTTCTACATTCATAATAATAATAATTGACTCTATAGGGGATTTTATTCTGTCCTAGGAACCCAGCCCTTTGGAGGGTTGTGATTGGCTTGCATCATCTTGTTAAATACAGCTCTTACACTGTAAAGCGCCGGGTCAAAACTATCACGGTCCATTCTAATTATGATACGGACACCTATGAGAATGATGTTGCCATGTTTAAGCTAATAAGATCAGTCAGATTCAGTGACTATATTCAGCCCATCTGCTTACCTGACAGTACTATTTTGATTAAAGCTGACTATCCATGTTTCATTACTGGATGGGGACACACAAGGGAGAAAGGTAATTTTTATGTTTCCTTTAAACTAAACTGTTGTGAGGAGTATTATTCCTTTAACTCCAGAAAACTCCTTTGCCATCACCATAATTTGGGGTTATTTCACACATTACTGTATTTGGAAGAAACCCTGATACTGTATTGTTAATGAGTGAGTGACTGGCACATGATGACACATTTATTTGGTGCACACACTTTATATTTTAAATATTTATATTTGTCATATTTTAAAAACACTTTTAATTATATGTTTAATGTAACATACAGTGGTTCTCATTACTTTTCTGGGCAATGAGGCATTGGAGTCTACTCTTCTGAACCTACTTTTAGTTGTAAGAACTTCACTTTCAGACAGATCATTTTTGTCTCTGTACAAGAACAGTATATAATTGTGCCCTGCTCCTGAGTTTATTATTGAGGAGATGTACACAACTTGGACATATCTTCTATTTCCAGCAAATTTCCTCTTTTATATCCTCACAATACAGAGATATAGCTGTGTTGGGGTGGGCCTTGACTTTTTACACATATGGACACCAGCATTTTACAGCTTTCCAAACATAGGGAAATGCACTAAAATTTAGCAAAGGCCGTATATACATTTCACTCAAAAATAAATATATAATTCTGCTCCAAGTCATTCACAATGTGCATAATTCCTCTTACAAGCAAAATAGTACAAAATAGTACAATGGGGAAGGCTCTAACCAGAATTCCAGACACTACAAACTACAACTGCCCAGATTTTCTTTTCCAACATTCCAACATTCAAATATTGAGGCAGCATTCTGTGACTGTTGTGCATGTTCAGTCTTTATTAGGCTTTTTGGAGGAATCCTGTCCCCCAACCCAGCATGTATTTTTCTCAAAAAGATTATTTTTATTTCTGTAAACTTTGGAGTTCCTCTTTATGCTACCTCCTACTTATGCATAGGCAATGCTATTCTATACTACGTTTAGAATATTATTTTTGTACAGATTTGTTGGTGTTATATGTCATCAAATTGTTTCAAAATTATAGTGACCCTAATAGGGTCTGTGAGACGTTCAAGGAAAGGTTTACTCTTGCCACTTCTCAGTGAGTTTCCCTGGCCAAGCAGGGATTTGGAACCAGTTCTTCTGAATCCTAGTCCAACACTCTGTTATCGGCTGAAATCCTGCTCCATAACTTACGCTACATAAAGCTGATGACATCATAAGATGCATTAATGGGGGGGATTCTGACCTTTGCCCCAAAAGTCCTGAGGCTTCCAACTGAATCCTTTTCATTATCGGCAAACCATTGAGGACCACAGATGAAGAAGGTAGTCTGAAAATCTGAAAATTGCTGCCACTAGAATTCCCTTTGCCAACAGGGACGATTTTTGGACATTTAAAAAACCCATCCCATGGCCCCTGCAACTTCCCCATGATAAAAGGATTCCATGGGAGACTCAGGACCTTCTAGGTAGTGGAGGACAGATTTTCTTTGTTTCTGAAAATTCATTGTGGCTGATGTCACCATTAGTTTTGTGTGGCATAGTTGCTTGAACAGTATTTGTTTAAAAATAACTGAAATACAAAAATGATTACTGTATTTTTCCATGTATAATAAGCCCTCACGTATAAAGCCCCCCCACACACACTTTTCTAACCGAGAATTTCTTTGTTCACAAGAAAGTGGAGGGGGAAGGCAGGGATCAAAGTGTTTTGATTCCTGCTTTCCCTCTCCACTTTCTTTGGAAGAAAGTGGAGGAAGAAAGCAGGAATCATCAAAGCGATTCATCAAAGCAATTCCTGCTTTCTCCCTCCACTTTCCTCGCAAGAAAATGGTTTCCCCTTCCATTTCCTTGCAAGAAAGCACTTTATTGTGAGGAAAGTGCTTTCCCCCTCCACTTCCTTTGCAAAAAGTGGAGGGGGAAAGCAGGAATCAAAGCGCTTGGATGCTTTCCCCCTCCTTAGTTCTGCGTATAAGGCAACCCTAAATTTTTTATCTAAATATTTTAGAGAAAAGTGTCATCTTATATATGGAGAAATACAGTAAATCTCTCCTTGCCAGCAAATAAGAGAGTAATCAGTAAATGTTAGTCAAAAGAACATCAATGGGTGTTACATTGCTTTTTGAAACATTAATAGTACTGTATAGCTATCCCAGTAGTGACAATGACATGACCCTGCCTACAATATAACTGACGCTCAGACAACTCAGATTGTAGTTATGGATTAGTCCATAGGTTACTACATTACTTATCCTGCGAGGTTTTTCAGCTTTGCGTAATCCAGTATGGTTTCACTAGGGTTTCTTAATTTTCAGTAACGTACTCATTAATCTTTTGAATCATACAAGTAGGGATATTTTAAGACCATGATATTAAGATTTTCAGGAATCACGATATGCACACTGCTTTATTTCTGTGATTTTACAAATGCATTTAGATAAAGAATTAATAGTTCCACAATGCTAACACTTCAGTCTTCCTATAGGAATAGGAAACTTGAGGGAACAGATCATACAATATATTAAACCAGGAAGAAGAGGTTGTAGATATTGAGTCTTGGCTTGGTCGTAAGACTTTTCTGTCTGCTGCTTAGACCAAAATATATGCCTTACCTTCTACATTTATTATGTGAAACAGTAAAATTCACAATGCATCAATTTTTTATAGATGCAATATTTGCCTCATTTGTTTCATAATTTTATAATGGATCTGCAATCTAATTCCCTTGCATGTTACCATTGACGGGTTGTGTAAGATCAATACAGAGTTAGGTAACAACACTTAGAATGCAGACTGTTTCCTGTTGATCAAATATTTGATGACACAATTGCAATTTATATCAAACTATAAAGGATTTTTTAAAAAATGGGGGCAATGTAGAATCTTAAAAACAAAACACCAGATTGTTGTCTTCCAGAATAGGGCTGTGGGCCTTACTCCAGAAGTAGTTTCTTTGGCTGGGTATTCTTAAGATCCAACTAAAAACTTGGATGTTTAGGCAGGCCTTCCCTCCAGTTAATACTTAATTTTTCCTTCTTTATTTATCTCCTGTTGTCTTTTCCATCTTGAAGGATCTGCTTATTGATTTATAATTTCTTTTTCATCTTGGCATATTTATATATTTATATGTTGTTTTTTATTTGCTTGGAAGCTGCCTAGAGTGGTCGTAATGACCAGATAGGCGGGGTATAAATAAAATAAAATAAATACATTTTATTATGATTCCACCTGGGAAAACCATGTGGGCATTGTTATGGCAAATGGCTGAAGCAGATAACCTGAATTATTAATTTTGTTATATTCAGATACAATTTGCCTAACTTCTTAAAGGTTTTTATATCACTAAGTTTATATCATACTGGCTGTTTTGGCCATTGGTATAAAAAGATCCACATCGTGTATAATAGCCAAAATACATATGCATCAAAATGGTTTGCCCAGGTGCAATCATGATGAAAGCCAAAGAATATACTTCTGGATTAAGATCCATGATCCTAGTTGAAAGCCAACAATCTGTTGTCCCTATTTTTTTAAAAAAATCCATTAACAGGTTGAGATAAAAGACAATTATGAACAGTAGCCAAGAAATCTCACAAGCAAATGGCATTACATACTTGGATCCATATGCCTCTGGGGCTAGTCTTGGCTGTCAAACAGACTTTCTATAGTTGCAAGACATCTAGGGCTTTGTTTTGGCAACTCTGTGTAGATGTGACAGGGTGGAACGAATTTAAATCATAACCTAGAAAAAGTTGATTTTCCCTAAAACAATCGCATGCTCGCTTAACCTTAATATATATTTTTCAGAACTCTTGAGATGCAGGTTTTAATGTACTTTTAAAAAACCAGTGATTTGTTCTGAAAAATAAACTTTCCAAATGGTTTTGCAACTATAACAGAAAATGAATGATTATGTTAGTTACCAAAGATAATTGAAACAGGTATTTGTGAAGGCACTAGAGAGTGATTAGTCTTCATGTCATAAACCTTTGGAAGGTTTTCTTGCATTACTCTACACATAATTTTTAACAAGTGTATGGACTGGAGTGGGATGTTATATAGTTAAATGAAAGATTAGTCTCAATAACTATATTAAGGCCTTTTAAACACCATGAAATTGAGCCCCCTACTTTTAAATATTGGACCCTGTTTTTAAAAAATGATTATATGAATACATTGGTTGGAATCCTGTTTGCGCAGTTCTGTGCATATAAAGGTTGATGATGTCATCAGGCTTGCATGCTTATAGTTGCACAAATGGGATTCTGACCAGGGTTATGTAATATAGAATGTTTAATGCCTATTCCATAAGATGTTTCATCTATATCACATTTAACTACTGCCAACAAAAAGTGTTTTAAAAGTTAAAAAAAATATCTAAAATTTAAAAGTAAGATTAATGTTTAAATATTAATGTGTTAATCTATTTAAATCATTCCTTTTTATCCATTTGGCTGTCCCGAATGTATGGCAGAGGCATTCAATTACAGTATATTGATAGCCTTATGAGAGGGAAAGAGCGTGTGTGATACAAGAGCTGCCAGTGCCTATTAGCTTTGCATACTGACTATTGTGTTTTGTAATGTTACCTAAATAATTCCACCAGTATTTTGTGTTTGCTTTATAGGTAAAGGCAAGCTTATTTTACAAGAAGCTCAAGTAGACATTATTCCACTGAGTTTGTGTAATGAATACAACTGGTATGGAGGAAGAATAACATGGAATATGGTTTGTGCTGGCTCTGCAAGTGGGCACGTAGACAGCTGCCAGGTAAAACAGAACATTCCAATTCAAGATACAATTCATGCAGTTGCTTACACAAACTGCACTATCCAACATGTCAAAGCAGCCATAAAGCAAAAAATAAGTTATGGCTTTATGTGATAAAATCAGTATTAAGGATGTTATAGTGAACTCTTGCAATGCCATAGCATTGTCTCATCTCCAGTGGACATAATCCTATTACCTGGTTACACTGGTGTAAGAGCAGTGGTGTCAATTACAGTTGCTACTTCATGTTAGTTAATGAGTTGCCACCTCTGTTGCTTGTTGTACACACCTCACATGATTAGTGAGTTGCAAGAGATACAAGCAGTGACTTTTTAATTAGCAGCATTTCACTGCTGCAGTTTATGCTAGTGCAACTAATCAGTACCATTCTGGCCAGCTATTTTATTGATATATCTTATATACAATTAGCCCTGAAAAAATCTAGAAAACCCAAATTCCTGCCTGGGAACTTAAAACTGAAGAATGATGAAAGGAAGGGAGTTCTAGGGAAAGGGGAACACACTTCTGATACTTACTTGAAAAATTGGGCAAATAATTTTAACTGAATCTGGAAGTATGCCCCCTATTTTTAAGGACCATTTTTGTCTCATTTAAGATTTTTATAGTAAATAAAGGGTGGCTGAAGAGTTAAAGCAGCAGTGTGATACCAAAAAAGAAAGATATTCAGCTTTTTTTCCAGTTCAGAATCCATAGCTCTCTTTGTTTCCATTCCAAAATAAAATAAGAAAGAAACATGGAACAGAGGAACAGAACTATCTTCAACAAATATGTGTATACTGTAATGACTTGTTGCAACTGCTAAAATTAAATGGCTCATCATGTACTTCTCAGACTTTAACTTTTACGGTATGGAACCAGTAGGTCATATTTCTAGAATATCTACAGTCAAATTTTTTAATCAGCATACAGTGGTACCCCGCTTGACGATGAATCCGCTTCACGGCTATGTTTTTGCGATCGCTATTGCGATTTCAAAATGATGTTTTAATGGGCAAAATCCGCTTTCCAATGATCGGTTCCCTGCTTCGGGAACCGATTCTTTGCATTAAGACGATCAAAACAACTGATCATTGGGTTTTCAAAATGGCCACCGGCTGTTCAAAATGGCTTCCTGCTGTGTTCAGGACGGATTTTTCGCTGCAGAGGCATTGGAAAATGGCCGCCCTATGGAGGATCTTCGTTGGACGCTGAGGTATTTCGCCCATTGGAACGCTTTGACCTGGTTTTCAGTGCATTTCAATGGGCTTTTTTATTTCGCTTGACGAGGATTTCACTCTGCAGCAATTTCACTGGAACGGATTATCCTCGTCAAGCGAGGCACCACTGTACTTGTAAACGCTATAAATCAAATACAGTAATGCAATTGTTCACTAAATTTAGACTTAACAGATATATCTATCCATAGTGCCCAAGTGCCCAAAGAAAAATTATTTTCTTTTTACAAGCCAGGAAAGACTGACACACAATCCTTTTGGATACAGAAAATCAAGAATATCATGACTAACACATTCCCATGCTACAATTTTTCATGTTCCAGGGAGACAGTGGTGGACCTTTGACGTGCTATTTTCCAAATACGAGAAGATTTTATCTAATGGGAATCACCAGCTTTGGGTATGGCTGTGGCCGACCAAGACGTCCTGGAGTCTATGTTCGTACACCTAATTATAAAACATGGATTGATAAATATCTACGTGCTGAATCTACTGCTGTGAACTTCCAGTGTTTTCTGATCCTTTTGATTACAGGGTGGATAGTCTTTCATATTGGTCTGTGAAAAAGAAACATTCTTTCTATTCCTAGAAGGATCTTCATTACTTTTTAATTTTTTGCCTCCGTAGAAAATAAATCTTTAGCAGAATTTATTTACCCCAATAACAAATACATTTCACCAGTTATATTTCAGAAAAATAATTATAATTTAACAGTCAGAACTCAGCAGTTACTTACGTAATTACATATATAAATTATATGGGTTGTAAAATAATGGCAATCGTACATTTCAGAATTGACTAAAATATGTAAGTAAACATGGTTTTTAACATTGCACTGAGAGTGGTAATTTCTTCCAGTAAAATACTGAGACAGTATTTGAACAACAGTATTTTAAATACATACCTTTGTATTTTAGTATACAATGTATTATATAAGATGTTGCCAAATTTGCATAGCATTTTTCAAATAAAATATTTTCCATTTCTATACAAGTATGTTCAGTATTTTTTTTCTCTTCAGCCTCAAGTGGACTGTATTTTAAAGGGGGAAATGAGGATAAATCACATGTGGGGAAATGTGAGAAAGGCTGAAATCCTGTTACAGAGGTTTGTGTGAGAAACGGGAATGATATTGTGGCATCCACCCTCGTGCCCCTTTGCTTGACCATCAAGCCTCAGAGCACACGAAGGTAAACAAACCTCACTCTTTTCACTAGCTGACACCAGGTGATCTCTAAATCACCATTACTTCAGAAAGATTCAGGTCCACTCTTCAAGTTCTTTTAAATAAAAACTTTGGTTTATTGATTACATAGATTGATTCATGAATATCTTCAGTAGGTAATCATTCCTCAGAATTTCCCCAAACTACATACTCTATTACTCTGTCTGGCTTTTCTCTCCTGTCTGACTCTTACATTTCTCTAACTGACCTAAACTCACTTAATCTGCTCTCTGACCCCACCTCTTATAGCATTTCTCTTGACTCTGCCTCTCAGCAATATGAATTCTCTTGACCCTGCCTCTCAGCAATATGAATATTCATAAACAATTACATAATACAAGAACCATAGATCTAATAAAAGGAGAATGCTACAGACATCATTACCAATGGCAGACCACCACTGATTTAAAGTTTCCATGGATGATTCTGGAATGCAAGTGACAATGCATGTGTACTAGGCCATCACATGTAGGTATGGAAAAAATATTTTAAAAAATTATATGGTGCATCCCTCCTATGTTATTTCTACTGGCAAAATATGAATGTACAAATTTCAGGTCATTTGGTGATGTTTTGACCCCCACCCAACACGATTAACTGATTTAGTTCATAAATCATCGTTTTCCTACACTAAAATCATGCCAAAATATTTATAATACAAGAGAGTTTATTATATAGAGAAGACAAACTACATATGTAGTAACTAACAAGTTTGGTAATAGTGTACACACAATATATCAAATCACTTTACTGGATTCAAGGTTTTGTGGAGGAGAATGTTAATTTTTTAATGTCTTTTTTTAAAGTTGGGAATTTGTTTGTGGTGATATTTGACCACTTACAATAAAAACTGCTTTTGTGTTTCATCATTGGTAACAGTAGTTGAGAAGTCTTGGATTAGTTTCACAGCCCGTTCTGACAGATCATTCATCACTTTGACATGCCACACATATGTCTCAGCTTCCTGGTAATTGGGTCATTATGCCATTCACTAACAGGTTTTCCTAGCCAGTCAGTGCCAGTTCCCATGCCATGAAACAAGAACCAGGACTTAGGCCCAATAAGGGATGACAGTTGTGTACTGTGGCTCAGAAAAGGAAAAAGACAGGTTACTTAACTGTAACTCTGGTTCTTCGAGTGGTCATCTGTGAATTCACACTACTGTAATGAGTTTTATCTGCACTTGCGCAGAGGGTTTGGAATATTCTAGAGCTTCAGCATGTGCTTGCCAGGACCACCTCCCCAGTACACGTAGTCCACCTGTCCTGGCAGCCAGACTAGTGGAGTGAGAAAATACCAACATATTTCTCCTACTCTGGCCACACTGCATTGGCTGCCCATTCGGTTCCGCATCGACTTCAAAGTTTTAATGCTCACTTATAAGGCCCTCGATATTTGGTGATGTCCCTGCACTAATTCTCCATACAGGAGATCTTTTGGAATCTGACCATCAGCCATTCTCACGACATGCCCAAACCAACGTAGATGTCACTGTTTCAGTAATATATACATGCTAAAAATTCCAACTCGTTCTAGGACTACTCTATTTGGAACTTTGTCCTGCCAGGTGATACCAAAAATGCATCAGAGACAACGCATATAGAACATGTTCAACTTCCTCTCCTGCTGTGCACAAAGGTCATTATTAGTTTGGTTGTGCTCAGGATCTACCTTCATTATTAATGCAAGATAGGATGGTAAATTTTTTTGAAAATTACTCTTAAGTATCTGCTGGTAAGAAAGTGAGAACCATTAAGAATGATACACTTTTGTCATACAGCTGTTCCTCTCTTCAAAGAAAATCACCTCAGACTAGCAAATCAGTGGCCAAAATCTTACTGCCTAGTTATGCTGCTGTAACAAAAATAGCATAACCAAATTGCCTCAAGAAATCACAATAGGCATTATCTGTTGTAAACTGAGTTGTGTTACTCAAAACATATCTGGTAGCATCAACTGAATTCTTAATTTGAGGCAATTGATCTCCAAACATTAAACCATTTGTGTAACTGCAAGACGACTTTGGCCAATGTGTTCTACTTCAATTTTTTTTTTTTTTTTTTTTTTAGGGGTGGGGTGGGCAATTTCCAGAATTGCTGAACTCTGGAAACTTGGAAGGTTGCATCTGCTCCCATCACCACTATTTTCGTTGCAAACTCAGTTGTTCTGCTGAAAAAGCTCCTGTGTGTTCCCTAGTGGCCATTTTTTTTATTAAAAAAAATAGGAAATAAGAGACTGCACAAAATTGTAAATTTGCCTTCTGGATCCCCAAAGAGCAAAAGCCTTTTATTGGAGCGTGGAGGTACTAGAGTCAAGGGAAAAGGAGCTGTTTTAAATGCCATCAAACTGAACTAAATGCACTTTTAAAAAAAATGCTATCTTTCATAGCCTCAATGTCAATTATATTGATAGCATGCCATATAAGTGGCGAAATTTCAAAATGCAGGTGGTAACTGGGAAAACAAAAGTGCACCAAGCACCCTTATGTGTTATAAGGAATCACATGCCAGAAAGGTTCAGATATGAAGACTGGATTTTCTTTTGAAAGTAACACGTGGTAACACATTGACAGGCACAAAATTATAGCTCTCCTGTTTCATGCAGGACATAAGCCATGGAAGTTCTGGTATAATGCACCTCCAGCAGAAAAGGACAAAGGCTGGGCACATCAAGCCCATGCACCTATTTTTGTAAATGCAAGAATACTTTTAAAAGCTTGGTTTTATTTTTCCTGAGGAATGTGGGGTGGGGGGAGGAGAGGGAATCTTGCTACCATTCTTCTGGGCAACTTTACGGAGTGCTTGATATGCTTATTGTAATAAAAACCGGCAGCAGCCGGAGCCGACCGCGGGTATCAAGTGAGGGAACAGCATCTGAAACATGTGCCATAGGTAGGCTACCGTCGACAGCTGCTTGTTTCCGCCCACCCTCAGCGTTTTGTCCTCTCAACTCCCTGCCCGTCGTGCTACTCCGGTCTTCCTCTCCCCCACCCCCCGCCAACCGCCTCAGCGAGTTCTGCTTCGAAAGAACGCGCAGTTTAGGCGCGAAATACTCTAGGGACTGGCGCGCGCCTTTTCCGCCAATGGGTCACGCGGCATCCAACGTCCCTGGCTCGCGGAGGAAGGCAGGCCAGTCGGGGACCCGGCCGCCCTTTTGATGGCTGGACAGAAGATGCGCACAGGATGCGATTCCTTCTGGGCACTTCTGATGCTGCTAAGTCACGCCCATTCTGCGATTCCTACAGACGGTGAGCTCGGCTTCCCGTGTCCTCCCAGTTATTACTTGGAAGGAAACCTAAGTCACCTTTTCGTCCCAAAGTTCTGCCCGGTTTAAAGAAAAAACATTTTTGTCTGGGCGCTCAAAACGTTCCCTTCAGGCGGAAAGCGCCAAAGTCACCCGCTCGTGTGAATTTTCCCGCCTCCTGGAAACTCAGCACGCCGAGCGAGGAAATCAATGTGCGCATGCGCCCAGGATCCAGTTCCCGGAAAGGAGGAACTGGATTCCCACTCGTTAAAACTACCAGCCCCGACAGCCTCTAAGGTAAACTGGATCGTCCGCTTAAAAAGCGAGTTGCGCATGCGCCTAAGAACGATGGGGCTTGCTCCACAGTTAGCACCTTAGGGTTACTGTACTGTGACTTACTTCCAAGTAAATCCTCATCGGCTTCTTCCCTTCCCGTACCGTTTCCTCTGAAAATCGCAGCAACAGAGCTGCCACGGGACTCCACCCAAAGAGGCTCCAGTCCCCTGTTCACCCCTTCCGTGGCAGATGGTTGTAGGAAGGGTTCGTGGCGGGATTTCAGTCCCCAAGGAGGTTCACGCTTGCCCTGGAGCTGCTGTGTGGGCTCTGTGGAAAAGATGTTCGGGCACAATTATGTTGACATATTCATGTTACATAGTTATCAAAGCAAGGATCACTCCAGAGATCTCTGGCCATAGCAGGAAAAAGATTCTCAGTCTTTTTTAGAGTTAATCAGAACTGACTGCTGACAGCAGAGCAGAAAAAACTACTGTATACTGTATAGCACAAAGACAGAAAGAGACTGAGAATATCTGGCTCCATGGTCAGTTTGCTTTTGCTTCTCAGCAGGAGTTCCTTCTTCTGCAACCTACGAGATCGTCTGGTGTGGACAGAGTCTCCTTATGCCTGGGACAGAGATATGTAATAACTGGTCCTGCCTTATGCTGTCCCCCACTTCATTTCAATTGGGTAGGAACTGAAATATTGAATGGGTTCTGTATGAGAAACAAGGCTATAACAGTGATGCAAATTGAGAAACTGGATGGGGTAATTTTTTTTGTACGGGACCAGTCCCCTCGGTGGAGTCAGGGAGAAGACTCTGGTTGTAAGTAACATTTCTAGCCAGCAGGAGGTGGGATGTGCTTAGTGCATCTGGCCTTTACTTTCTGAGCCATTACAATCAGTGATCTGTTATACTGTATTTTAGCTTGTCTGATTTATATCTGTTCACTGGTTGAACCAGTGTTACTTACAGTCTAGCATTCAGACTGTTATTTAACTGCTTTCCCTGACCCATAAGGTAGTATCTAGGGATTTATAAATACCAGTCATCTTGCCTCTGGTTCAGCTTTTTGGGAGTGCTGGTTCATGGATAAAACTAATTGCCTTGATTCATTATATTCTGGTTCAGCTTTCATTAGAGAATTGTCCTTCATCCCCATGGCAAATTGTCTTTTTTGGGAGATGGATGGTGAGTGTGATCCTGCTAGTTATGTTTGATTTTTTCCATAACTTTTGATAGCATTTATCATGGTATCTTTCATGAAGATACGTTTTACAATGTTTCAACTCCTTCTTGTAGGGCTGGCTCCAGAGAACAGTACTGGGTGATTGTGCCTTTGCACTCTGTAAGTTAAAAACAATGGACTATCACAGGGTACTGTCTTATCTCCTCTGCTATTTAACATCTCTGTGGCTTTTGAAATATGTAGCAACTTCTGAGTGCTTTGGAATCCATTTTTATCACTAAGAGGTCAGGTGGCTTTGGTGTCCAGGAACACTTGTTTTTTGGGGGGAAAGATACTTACGCATGGATAGTCATAGACTAAGCGGTGTGTTTTATGCATTGCTATCTTCATAATCAAAAGTACTGTGGTTCAATGAGGTGCTGCAGAGCCAGAGGTTGGAAGCTGAGTTGCCCAATGTGCTTTGTAGGAGAGGCAGCCTAGCCTATATAGCTCAGGCCACCTATTCTCGGTCGTCTTGGCTATTGCCGTAAACACAATATAAAAGAATTATAGGTCGAATCAGGATTGTATAAGTCACAGAACAAACCTTAGAAGTTGGTGTGTAAAGAATTGTGTCCAGTTCATGCCCCCCTTCAAATGTGCCAGGTCCCCCTATGGGGGCATATGGCCCCTGTTGAGAATGGCTGGTCTTGGGCAAGTGGCCTGGTCCCAGAGTGCCTGAGAAGGAACTAGTAAACTGCTTTTAAGTACAGTACTCTCTATACCTATACAAACATGGAAGGAGTTCCCATAAGCTGGAATCAATTTGATGGCACCTGGTTATTATGAATGTACTATATGTAGAACTGCCACCACCTAATTCAAAATGTAGCCGCTAGAGTGCAGCACCTATTTATATAATCTTTGCCTAACTTGTAAAGTTAATAAGATATTGCTGTTTTTTTCAAATAATTTTAATGTTTGTGTATTTTATATATCATTTAATAGCACTGTTTACGTAGGCTGCATAGGAGTTAAAGTGGCACATAAATTTCTATTCAGTCTCCCAATAACCTACCTATTAACTCCATTCCCCCAGGTCCATACTTTTTTCTGTGCCTCTAAGAGGCACCAAGCTACTTTAAAGGAGCCTCGTGGCAAAGTGGCTAAACCGCTGTACTGCCACCAAAACTGTGCTCACGACCTGGGGTTCAATCCCAGGTAGCGGCTCAAGGTTGACTCAGCCTTCTCTCCTTCCGAGGTCGGTAAAATGAGTACCCAGCTTGCTGGGGGGGGGGCAATGTGTAGCCTGCATAATTAACTTGTAAATCGCTCAGAGAGTGCTTGAAGCACTATGGGGCGGTATATAAGCAGCACACTTTGCTTTTGCTTTTTTAAATGTGTTATTCTTCTATGTTGGCTTTGTTTTTGAATGGTTACAAATGTTGTACATCATCCATATAACTTTTGATTTCCAGAATGCGGCACCAGGCCTGCTGTGGAAGATATAACAGGGACTCAAGTAGTAGGTGGACACAATGTTCAGCTCGGGGCCTGGCCATGGCAAGTTAGCCTTCAGATTTATCGTGTTGGATCAGGTCGTTATCTCCATGAGTGTGGTGGATCCTTAATTAATAACAACTCAGTGCTGACAGCAGCACACTGCATTAAAAAATGGATGTATGTATTTTTCATTTCTTCACCTTTTTATGTCCACCACATTAATCAAAATTAGCAATTTGCCCTTTAAGAACTATAATATGACCAGATAGGCGGGATAGAAATGAAATAAATAAATAATAAAATGATAAAAATAATAAATTCAACTCTTCTTTAACTGAACCTCTAGTTTTCTTCCTCTACCCCCTCCCTGGATGTAGAAGTGAGAGTTGACCCTAGAAGACAATGGACTTTTGGCAGAGTTGTGATGGGATAGTAAAGTATTGTTTCTCCAATTTCCTAATTTTAAGCACTGAGCCTTGTGGCACAAGTGGTTAAACTGCTATACTGCAGCTAAAACTGTGCTCACAACCCGGGGTTCTATCCTTCAGAGGTTGGTCAAATGAGTACCCAGGGGCAATGTGTAGCTTGCACAATTAACTTGTAAACCGTCCAGAGAGTGCTTGAAGCGGTATGGGGCGGTATATAAGCAGCACGCTTTGCTTTGCTAATCTCCAAATAAAAGGCTACAGTAAGCAAACAGCGGAGTTTATATCTGTGGTGTGCATTGTGAACCCAGAATTCCTCCATCTACACAATGTTACTCGAGTAATTTCATACTACCGTCCTGCCAATATTTTGTAGGTTCTGGAACCACACAAGTGCTGAGCACACACAGAACTGTTCTGGTCTCTCTGCCCACTGCCATATGTTTCTTTTCAATTTATATACATATTTTGGTGTTCCTGGACTGCCCCTGTAAGTACTGTATGCAGAAAGCATTTGGATCATGAACAGTTTTGGCTGCAGTACAGCAGTTTAACTACTGAGTCATGAGGCTCAAAGTTACATAGGAGCCACTCTTGCTATTGCTAATGCCAAGATCTTATCTGCACCTGCATAACACATCTTGCTGAGTGCTTAGAAACACCTTTGTTCTGTGTTTTCTCCCACAATAGCAGGGGTTGTGTGTGAAAGCTGGAGTCCTTTGTCTTTGTCAAATATGAATTAAGTTATATGTTATCAAGAAAACACTGAAAAATGTTTCACAATGATGACACTTTCACTTTATCAACTTTAATTCAAGTTGGTTACCTTTCCATTCTTGTAATTTTGCACAGCTATAAAGAACTATGCAAACACAGTCTGTGGATTTTCATTCTCTTTGTTCACTAAGTTAGGGACAAAGGAAGCTGTCTTTCACTGAGTTAGAAACATGGTCTGTTTACCCTAGAATTGCTCTAACTGGCAGTGGTCTTCAGCGTTTCAGACATGTTTCTTTTCTAGCTCTACCTGAAGATCACTTGTGATTTCCCATTCTAAGCACTAAGCAGGCTTGCCCCTGCTTAGCTTCCAAAACCAGACAAGGGCAGTGTGTTCACAATGAAAGGACAAGTGAGCCTCCAGCTTTTTTTTTCAGTATACCTCATTTTATCAGGTAGGAGATATTTTTTAGGGGAAAAAATTATTTAACGGTGACAGAGAGCTCTGAAATATATACACAAAACAATGTATATACTGGCTATAGCTTTGATGGTTTCTTGATAAACTGTGTCCTTGGAGTCCTAAGCATCACCTGGAAGGCTGCTGGCCCAGGAAAAAGAACAGACTGCACAATTGTAGCAAATTGTACCATCTTAGTTAGAACTGGCCAGATTCTTCCTAGTGAACTAAAGATAGTTATACCTACAACTGCCTTATCTAGCACCTCTTTAGAGCACAAGTGCCCATCATGCCAGGCACAATAATTTCTTAGTAGAATTCTTAACTATGAAGAGCATTACATGCTGGTGGCCAAAATCCTGTTGTTCACTAGTAAATCACACTAGGGTAGGCCCACTGAATCAATGAGGATTTATTGAATCAGCTCTCCCATAAGTTCCATTGATTCAAATGGGCCAACTATAACTGGAACTTACTATGTTATACTGACTCATCCCTACTGATTCAGTGAGCCTGCTCTTGCGTGATTGTGCCAAGCAACAGGCCAGTAAAAAGTTTCTAACACAATTCCACTAAGTTTCAAAAACAGAGGTGTGTAAATTTTTATTTTTGTACTAGTTTCATTGCAGAATGAATTCTGGAATTTGTAATCCAATAACACAAATTAGCACAACTCTGCTCAAAGAGTTTCACCATGTAAAACAGGATACTGCTCAAGAAATAAAAAATTGAACATATTGAAATACTTCTGCATTTCTTTGGATCCTGGTCTTATTATTTGTGGTCCTGATTCTGTGAGTTATCGTTTGTGTTATCTCTAGCCAGGTTACTTGAATTCCACTTTACAAAAATACCTTTCTCTGATTCTGAGTAAAATTATTTTTTTCTTCTTGCTTTGGTGTTGTGTTGTTCTAGCATTCTCTGAAGTTGGGATTCAGTAAAATTCACTAACTCTGCAGGGTTCGTTTGGTTTTTTTAACTGTCCTAGAAACCCAGAGTATTGGAGAGCTGTACTTGGCTTGCATCATCTGTATAAGTGGAACTCACATACTATGTATCGACGGGTGAAAAAGATTGTGATCCATCCTGATTTCAAGTGGGGCAGCTATGAAAATGACATTGCCTTTTTTCAACTACTGAGGTTTGTCAAATACAATGAATATATTCAGCCTGTTTGCTTGCCTGACATTGCTCATCTTGTGACTGATATGGACCTTTGCTACATAAGTGGATGGGGAAAGAGGGAGAAGAAAGGTAAGGCTCTTTTGTTTCTCTTAGAATATGTTCATGGTGCAACTAGACAGGACAACCATTGCAGGTTCAGTCAGCTTCAAAAGGGTCACTTTTCTGAGTGTGATCATTGGCATCTGAATCAGTTTTCCATGCACAGCATACAAGCTTGTGCTTATCCTGGGACAAGAAACCACACATCAGATCACTATAATTCTCACCAGAATCATAGTTTGCATATCCCGCTCTCTGTTTTTAATAGTCTCTGCCCTGCCTTAGCTACCTTTTAGTGAAACAGGACTGAACTGGGTAAAAAATACATCCAAAAAGTGTCTCATATTCATGTAAGAATGGGAGAGTAGGGTGAGGAGGATTCTCCAGAGTCATAGTCCATCACTCTACTATACCAAACTGGGAATCCAGTAAGTTCAAATAGACATAGAAAAGGGACAGGTTGGTTTGGAGCAGATTTTGGGGGTGCACAGGAAGAGAGGGAGTATATCTGCCATGTTGTTCCATTAACAGGAACACTAATTGAATATGTGCCCCCCATGCCCTAACTCTTAGTACATCATAAGTAACAACTCTTATAATCTGTTTGTCACTCGAAAGATGATCACCAGCACTTTAAGTAAGGTCCTGAAACACACTAGCACTTTTATAAATACTATACGGAATTGGTGTTACAAGCAGTAATCTAGGTTTGGAAAGCAGTCAAAAAGGTGCATTCTACACTAGGTTAAATTTGTGAATCATCTTCAACACAATTACATGTTAACCACATTACTGTAGTTCACACTGTATGTAACCAGTGCATGGATGATTACAAGAGGTGTGTTTTTCGTGAAAATGTAGCTGGTCAACAAGCCAAACAGGTAAAATGGACCCCTCATTTTTGGTATCTAATATGTTTTCTAGATTATGTGGGAGATGAAAGCTCAAAGGAGACTCCTTAGACTTAAGAATACTATACTGGAGCCAGAACTCCCAGTGCCCAGCATTTTTCCATGTGGCTCAACTTGTTACATTTTGAACCAAATATGTTTCCAGTAATGTTTTGTGCTTTCTTCACAGACAAATTTCAAAATACATTACAGGAAACCAAAGTAGACATTATTCCACTATACATCTGTAATAGATTTGACTGGTTTAATGGGAGAATATCAAGGAATATGATTTGTGCTGGCTCTGCAAGTGGACATGGAGATAGCTGTGAGGTAAAATAAAGATAATTTTGTTTTAGAAGGTCTTGAAGTTTCATCCTGTCATGAAGTTACTTGGCAAAACCTTTTTTGCTGTAAGCGTATAATCTTTTTTTAAGAGGAGGGGAATGCATAAGAAAAGTTACATCAAACCATTGTTTCAATTGAAATTGAAAATATAATTGTTTTTAATATCATTTTTTAAATCAGTGGTGATTTAGGAATAGCTAAGGAATGGGGAATAGCTAAGGAATGGGGGAAAGCATATGAGCTTTACAAAAAAAGTAAAAATAAATTGTTTCCATCAATTCAGAAGCTTTAGGCCACTCTGTTTTAGTCTAAAACATAGTGTGGATGTGATTAATATTTGTGTGCATGATGCCTTGTTATGATAATTTAGTTGAGTCATTCACCTTTTGGTCTCTAACCTGATTTTTGGGATAAGCTTATGGAAGCAAAGCAGCCAATTCCAGAATATTCACAGTAACATTTTAGAAGCACTACAGCTCAGTCAAAGCAATACTCTTGTTTTCAGGTCAATCCGTCCTTGAAAACATTATTTTATTTTAATCTGAGAAATGTAACAGACTCATTGGTTAATGTTTCTATAGCATCAAAACAGTTCAGTATGCTCAACTTGTTCTTTATTTTCATGTTTCAGGGGGACAGTGGTGGACCTTTGATGTGCAATTTTCCAAATGTCTCAGAATATTATTTAATAGGAATCACCAGCTCTGCTACTGCATGTGGGATCCCAAAGCATCCAGGAATATATCTTAATACAGTCCATTATAGAACTTGGATAGATTCACAGCTATATAGTAAGACCACCACGAGCATTCAACACATTGTGATCTTTTTCATTATGGAATGGGTAATCTTTTATGTACTTCTATAAAGAAACAAACTCTGCTTTTGTTTACTCAATTAATGCTGTCAGATTACTTTCTAAACCAGCGGCCCCTAACCTTTTTGGGACCGCAGACCAGCTGAGCCTCTGAGGAAGACGGGGCACCCACACACATTTGCGCAGGCATGTGCTCTTGGGTGCATGTGTGCTCTCTCAGGTGCAGTGGGGTAGCATGCACACACGCCAGCACCAACGTTCCCCCACCCCTTCACACATGAGCTCTTGTACACCCACCTGCCCACCCCTTTGCACTGGCACATGTATGAAGGGGTGGGGGAGTGCTCACAACATCACTGGCACACACACGCTTGTGCAAAACAGCTGTGGGGAGTGCGTGTAGAAGGGCAGGTCTGTCTCCACGGCCCGGTCCGGCTCAACACACATTTGCGCAGGCATGCGCTCTTGGGTGCATGTGTGCTCTCTCAGGTGCAGTGGGGTAGCATGCACGCACGCCAGCACCAACGTTCCCCTACCCCTTCACACGAGCTCCTGTACGCCCTCCTGCCCACCCCTTTGCACTGGCACATGTGTGAAGGGGTGGGGGAGTGCTCACAACGGCACTGGCACACATACGCTTGTGCAAAGCAGCTGTGGGGAGTGTGTGTAGAGGGGCAGGAGGTCTGTCTCCACGGCCCGGTCCGGCTCAGGCCACCGACCGGCACCAGGCTGCAGATTGGGGGTTAATGACCTCTATTCTAAACCAAATGCTTCTTCTAGTAAACATGTGCATTTCATCAAGTTAATTATTTTTATAATCAATAGCCCTTGTAATTTATTGTTTTATCTACATTTTGAATATGCAAACAGCTTGTTTACTAGAAAGTAAGACCTTTTGAACACATTGGCCAAAATCCTGTTGCGTATCTATGTCTACTTAAGTTGCACAAGCCATTTCCAAATTTGCTTGAAGGCAAAAGTTGCATCCAGGAAGCAATTCTGTGGGCACAGCTGTGCCGGTCGTGCAGTCAGACATGCAGACTGCCTGGGTATTAATTCCCATGAATGTCTGCAAGCATAACTACACACTATGCTGAGTGCAATAAGATTCTGCCATTGTTTTACTTTTGAGTAAAATGTACAGACCTGAAGGGAGTTTCCTTAGACTTCCTGTATAGAAATAGAAAGCCCATTCTCCAAATCCCTATTTTTGCATTGCCTTATTGAATTGTCCACTTAGAGAGGTACAGTGGTGCCTTGCATAGCGATTGCTGTTTTACAGTGAAATCGCTTAGCAACGCTGTTTTTGCGATCCCAAAAGCAATTGCTTTGCAATGGTCCCTATGGGTGAATTTTGCTTTGCGATGATCGCAGGGAAGCGATCATCGCAAAGCCATTTTCGGCCAGCTGATTGGCGGTTTCAAAATGGCCGCCGGGTAAACAAAATGGCCGCCCGCTGTTTTCAGGCACGGATACCTCGCTTTAGAGGCACCAAAAATGGCAGCGCTATGGAGGATCTTCACTTAAAGGTGAGTTTAAGCCCATAGTAACGCATTAAATGCATTTTAATGAGTTTCTGTGGGATTTTTATTTTCGCTTAGCGATGTTATCGCTTAGCAGCAATTTTTTCGGAACGAGTTAACATCGCTAAGTGAGGCACCACTGTATTAGCATGCTTCCAGGGCCCATGAAGAATCTCCCCAGCAGCCCAAAGATGAGTCAGCACACTCAAGCTGACTGACTTCTGGGGAAGGATGGAAAACAATGTGGCCTGAAAGACAAAGTGTCCAGAATTCTGAAGAGAACCTCTCCAAGTTACATTTTGTTGTATATCTTGCTAATACAAAATATTGGATATGCTCCATAAACTTATTTTTATTTTATTTATTTATTTATTTGATTTATACCCCGCCCATCTGGTCTAAAAGACCACTCTAGGCAGCTTCCAATATAGTAAAAACAGTGAAATAATATAAAACACACACACAATTACATAAATCATATTGTAATAAACAGAATACAACAATAGAATAGAAAATACATAAGGAGAGAATAAAGAAAAGTCAGATATTAACTGGAGGGAAGGCCTGAATGTATAGCCATGTTTTTAATTGACTTTTAAAAGTGTCCAAAGTGGGGGCCGCGCGGATCTCAGGAGGGAGATTGTTCCAGAGGCGAGGAGCCACCACCGAGAAGGCCTGGTTTCGTGTCCTTTCTTTCCGGACCGACCTCGTCGTTAGGCTCCTCAGCCTCACCTCCGCCATGCGGGTAATCCGAGTAGATCTAGGTGGAAGCAGGCATTCCATTATACCAGGAACTCTCAATTTGAGATGCCATTTCCGCTGGTTTCTCCAACACGGAGTCTATACACTTGCCACTGTAATTTGGTCAGTCATAGGGACAAAAACTATTGTAATCCCATAAACCATGGAGATGCCGATTTTCACCAACAGGGCTTCTGGGTGAATAATACTGGACACTTTCAGGCCAAACAATAGAAGAAAAGATGGAGTGGGTTTATTTTGTTGGAGTCCAGGGATCAGGCCTATATCACAAATCCAATACCATGAGTGGAAAAAATGATGTAAACCAAGCTTCTTCCAGGCTGATTTTTAGATGTGTCAAAATACAACATAGTTGATATGGGTTCATGGTGATTATATGTAGTTCAACATATCAGGAGGGCCCCTGGTTTGTGATGATGACTTTAATCATAGAACCCAAAGCAAATGCTTGCAGATGGTCTTCCATCCTGGCACTGACCAGAACCAGGTGTGCTCAGCTTCAGTAAGGTTGCTGCTAAATATACTTCATGCAAGACTGTTCAGTTCTGCAAACTACTCAAGCATCTCTTCGTAGGAGAGGATCTCCATGTCTGGCTGATACTTATTGTGGCCCTTCATAGCCCAGGATAATTTCTTTAAGAGCAGTCTTACAGAAACTCCTGTTGTAAGCCGCCTAGAGTAGACCTTCGTGACTAGATAGGCGGGATATAAATTACTCCTTCATGATTGCCCTTTCTTGTAAAGTGATATTCACTGCCATATTGATACAGCTAGAGCTGGTCAGACCTTTCCTAATTCATGATCTTTTTTATGATCAGGGAGACAACTGTCAAACAAACAAAATAAGCTTCAACTTTTGAAGTAGATTTTCCATTATTCAAATCACAGCAACTCAACCTATGACAAGGCTGTGTCTTGGACACATTCATAGACAGATCTGCAGACCTAGAGCATGAATGCAAATGGGTACAGTTCTACTCTAAAGTGCTTAGCAAAAATGTCACAGTGTGCTTCTGAGAGCTATCTCACACCAATGTTCCCTCCAATTTTCTGCCAGTGCTAAGTGGGGGCCCTGCCCATGGGGTTCTGGCCACAATCGGAACCAAATGAGTGACAAAAATTGCTGAAGGTGTGCGGCACCAATGCAGTGCTGCACAGTTGCACAGCTTAGTGAATGTTGCCTCACACAATTGTACACTAAGTTATAAAAGATCACTAATCCATAGTTCTTGTCACATTCAAATTCCTATGAAAACTCAGATTAATACTGCCTTTTCCACCACTTGCTTTCAAGCTATGCTCAAAAATATCACTGCACCTCATCCTTTCTCATCTTTTTCTCCCACTGCACTGTATCATGGTACACTCATTCTTTAATCTTTTTAGAACACACACAAAATATTGGGCACTTACAAGCTGAAAACAGGAGAACTATCCCTTGAAATACTGATTTGCAAACACCCTTCAGAGTGTGAATTTACTTTATCATACGTGAAGGATCCAGTTTTTGTTATATATGGTTTTAGTTAGTGCATTTAACATATTGATAATACCAAAATGTGAAAAAAAATTAAAAATATGTATGTTGAAGACAATCTCAACAAGAGCACAATATAGCTGGCATGGAGCCATTATTTCTTTAATTAACTTTTCCCTTCCTTTCTTAAAAATGGTGTTCAAAGTAGCTAAGAATACAGAACTGAAAATATTGATTACAATGTATCATAGAAGTCAGCAAACTATGTACATCCCAACAAACAAGGGACTTTTTACCAATTACTGTTACATGCACACCTGCTCTCTTGAGTTTAAAATCTACAATTTAATACAATTTAAATCTACAATTTAAATCTACAATTTAATATTGGCAAACATCAGGTAAGACAGTGAAAGACTTGTACTTGACACAGTGACAGGCAGCTGTAGTACGATGAAAGGACTAGGTAGTGGGCATTTTTATCTTCCTTCCCAGCCTACATATGTCACCAGTGTCATAGGAAAGAGCTAGAACAGTGTTCCCCAAAATGTGCACCTGGAAGCCCATTTAGGGGCACCATAGAATCCTCTCTTCTTCCCCTCCCCCCGTTCTCCCGCCCCCAACCAAATTATCATACAGCACTTACTTGCTGGTGTCCATGCATGGTGCAGAGGGAACCCTGGCCCAGTTTTGCCAAAGGAATGAGTTTCCTGCCCTCCTGTTCACAAGGAAGCCTTCTTTGCCCCCTCCCTGCAAAAAAGAAAAGCAGCTTCTCCATTTTCCCAGAGATGTCTGGCCACAAGTATGTTTCCATTGCAGCCAGTCTTGGTAATACATCTCGGGAAGTGTGGTGTTTTTTATTATTTCATTTTTTCAGGCAGTGGATAAACGAAACCACAGGTACTAATCCCGTGGATACAGCAATCCTACTGTAGTGCGGAGCTGCAGCCAATGGCCAGGATTCAAAAAAGTTTGGAAACCACTGAGCTAAAGGCAATAGGCTGGACATGTGTATGTACAGACTGATGGTTTCTAGAACTGTTAGACCAAAGGCACTGAACAGCTATTCCACAATTTCTTCCTTAAATCAAAATTTTAAAAAACACAGTGGAAAAGCAATTTTCCTCATTGTAGCACTCCATAAATAAAAGTGACTGCCTTATTGGAGGCAGTGGAGAAGGGCTACTGCCAAAAGCTCAGCTGCCCAGACTTCTCTGCTCCCACTTCTCCAACACTACTATGCCAGCAGTAGAGTTAATACAATACAGTGGTGCCTCTCTTAATGACGATAATCCATTCCAGGAAAATCGTTGTTAAGCGAAAACATCATAAATCGAAATTAAAAAACCCATTGAAACGCATTGAAAACCGTTCAATGCGTTCCATTGGGCTAAAAACTCACCGTCCAGCGAAGATCCTCCATACAGTGACCATTTTCGGTGCCTGTATAGCGAGGAATCCGTCCCTAATCACAGCGGGGAGCCATTTTAAGCACCCAGCGGCCATTTTGAAAACCCGACAATCAGCTGTTTTTGATCGTGGTAAAGTAAAAATCTGTTCCCGAAGCAGGGAACCGATCATCACTAAGCAAAATTCCCCCATTTAGACCATCGTTTTGCGATCGCAAAACATCATCGTAAAGCGGATTCGTCGTAATGCAGGACAATCCTTAGCGGGGCACAACTGCATCCTCTCTCAATGAAAGAGGAAAGGGAAGTGAGATATTTAAAGAAAACTAGGAGACAAAGTTGCTGCAAGTGAAGATAAAGGTCATTTGAAAATTAGTTGGCAAAATTTAAGAGAAAAAATTTCAAGAGTAACTAATTTGTTTCAGCTCAGCTTTTGTGGATCATGTTGGGAGATATAAGGAAGGAGGGCATATATATATGTTGTGAACATGTGAAATGTGGTAGAAGGAATGATTAAAGACGTAAAGTATATTATGGGTATTGATGTATGATACAAAGTTGTCCAATGATAGCTTTGTTAAAAATGTTTGGAAATATTCAATTAGAATGGGTAAAAAGGGAATTAATTATTATTATATGGTAACAGTCACAAGATTGGTATTTGCAAGGAATTGGAAGAATAACTAGTTTAAGATGGAGGATTGGTATAAAGAAATGTGGATATGGCTGTCAATGATAAATTAACATGTACACTGTAAGTTAGAAAAGGAATCTTGAGAGCAAATTATTTTAAGAACATATGGAAAAAATTAGTACATGAATTCAGGGAAGGGCAAAGGTGATAACCCCAAATAATTATATTTGTACTTTTAATATACATAAAGGGGGGAAATTTGAAGGCTAGTGGGGAACACTACGTACATTATGAGCTTTGACTTGAATTTGAATTTTATGTTTGTTATTAGTTCTTTTCCATCTTCTTAATATGTATTATTAAAATATTAAAAATTTAAATGCAGACAAAGCGCAAATACTGTATGTCCTCCCTGACACCCTTTCCGCTTCAATTTTGCCAGAGTGTTGAACCAGACTAACGGCTACTTTTTCCTGAAACATTTAAAAATAAGTCAGACATCCTCTGCTGAGGACCGAGGTTGCATTCTGCTGTTACCCACTGCTTCACACAGCAATGGAGGGGTAACTGTTGCCCCCAGTTTCGCTCGTGCCCTTCAGAGCAGCTGTCGTTTCTTTTCTTTTTTTAATTCTACGTCCACAAAATGTTGCAGAAACAAGGGTTTTGATTAGAAAGTGACTGAAACCTAAATGAGTCGAAAGCGTACAAACCATTCAGCCTTCTTCCTCTGCCCTTATTTCTGCGTCCTCCTTGCCGGTGATGTAAGGTGCAGCCTTCCCTACCTTCAAGGAATATACACTGAGAAGCGGAGGCGAGGGACACAGGAAACGAGGGAACGTTCTCCCCGCTTTCCCTCAGACGTTCCTCCGCCCCCGTGGAAGGGGGGGGGAAGGGGCTGCGGCCGCCATTTTGTTTCCTGGGCAGACGATGGGACAGAATTTTCGCCTCGTATATACTTCTATTTGGGCGTTGCTCGTGCTCTGGAGTGAAGCTCCACTCCAAGCTCTCTCTTCTGTGATTCCTACAGACGGTGAGTCCGGCTTCCCAGGGCCCCCCTCCTCCTCCCCTGTCATGCAGGGCGCTACGTATTCGCGGGAGGCGTCGAAAGAGCCCGCTCAGCATGGCCAGCCTGCCAGGTCGTGCGCCAGCGCGCCATCGAGGCCAGGCAAGAAGTGCGCCTGCGCATAGACTACATCTTCCTATGAGAGAGCGGAGGCACCCGCCAAAACTACGAGTCCCAGCAACCTCTAGTCAGAGCAGGTGATGTGTGTTCGCTAGAGCAGACCTCAAGAGTTGTGTGCGGTGGAGCGCTGAGGGAGGGAGGTGTCCAGGTGTAGTGCTGGAAGTTCCTTGAGACCTGAAGAGGTGGGTGTTACCTTAAAAACTAAGCAGCTGTATAAAAGGTAAAGGTTCCCCTTGACAATTTTTGTCCAGTCGTGTTCGACTCTAGGGGGCGGTGCTCATCCCCGTTTCCAAGCCATAGAGCCAGCGTTTGTCCGAAGACAATCTTCCGTGGTCACGTGGCCAGTGAGACTTAGACACAGAACGCTATTATTGCTTGGTTTAAAACAGCGATTCCCAACCTTGGTTAACCCTGGTGTTCTTGAGCTGCAACTCCCAGCCCAGCTGGTGGTGAAGGCTTCTCGGAGCTTCGGGCCAAGAACACCTGAGTTACTCAAGGTTGGGAACCTCTGGTTTACAATATTCAACCTATGGGTTTATATCCACATTTGCTCCTATTATGCACGTGGGGCAAAATGAAGTGTAGAAAGTGACAGATCTGCTTCTGCAACAACAAAAGCGTGCAACTTCCAAGGTGCCACAAGATTCTTCGTTGGTTTTGCTGTAACAAAGGTAACACAGCTGCCTCCTTGGCAACTCCCAAGAAAGTGGGTGTGGGATCCCCAGTCTTCCGCCTACGGACTCTGGTTTCCTACCCTGAGAGGTCGATGCCCATGGATGTTTTGTGGGAACTTGCTGCTCTGTCCCTCTGCTGGCAGATGGGTTTCACCACCCTCTAGAATTGGCGGGGGGAAGGGGTGTTCCAAAGGGGAAGATCCTGCTGCTGGAAACAAGCCTGTTTAGAAGCGATAGCCCCCTTTTCCAAATGCAAAAGCATGTGTTTAGCAGGTCACTTCATGAGGGCTTCCACATGCTTGCTGGATTTCCCCTTGCATGAGTGGCAGGTAAGGAAGAATTTGGCACAGAAGAGACTCTTACTACAACAGGATGCCAGTTCATATTTTTTTTGTCTGTAGTAACGTTCCAGTGAAGCAAAGCACAGAGAACATTACTTTAGCCTATTGCCAATCATACTATGTGCCAGAAGAGTAATTTCTCTATGTTTGGCTCCTGAAAAATTGTTCAAATCAATATTTCATATGTAAATAGAGAGACACAGTAATAAACACCTTAAGGCTGCAGTCTTACACACAGTTGCATGTTATTACTTCCCATTGAAGTAATAAGGACTTAGTTTTGAGTAGAGAAATATGTGTGTCGGGTACATGGCTTCAGAGCCAGAAGTTGGGTCTTTGATTCCTCACTGTGCCTCCTCTGAAGTAGAGCCAGCCTGTGTGGCCTTGGGGAAGCTGCACAGTCACAGGACACACCCAGAAGAAGGGAAGGGTAAACCACATCTGAGTTCTCTCTACAATAATTGAACAACCCTGAAAGGGTCAGTGTAAGTGGAAAGCAACTTGAAGGCAAGTAAATCATACTATTGTGTAAGGCTGAGCCAAACAAATCACAGCATATTTCATTTGCTGTGTCAAAATTCTGGGATAGTAATTTTTTCAGACTTGCTTTTCTTTTTGAATTCCGGGGCTCACTTTTGAATTAGATTCTTGAGATTATATTTCTTATTATTATGCTTCTCTTACATGAAATAACATTTTCAGGCATTCAGGTTCAATACGCAAATAGTATGAAGGCAAATAGTATTAAGTTGAACCCTGGGAGAATCACTGTAAGTTGGAATCAACTTGAAAATGTATAATTATTATTATTATTGGATAAGCTTCATCCTTAGGCGCAGGCTCAGTGCACACCGTGTTCCAAAACAATGGCTGGGCTAATATACAACTGTAAGCCTGGGTGGTTTATTTTAAGCGGTTAGTCAAATGCAGATTCAACAAAACGTTAAAGCAGCTGCTTTGTTTTATAGAACCACCGCTATGAACACTGCATCTGACCATCATCCCTGTGTTTGGATTTCTAGAGTGCGGCACAAGGCCTGTTGTGGATGAGATAGCAACTGGGACTCGGATCATAGGTGGACACGATGCACAGCTTGGGGCCTGGCCATGGCAAGTTAGCCTTCAGGTGTACCACTTCGGTGTAGGATATGTCCATGTATGCGGTGGATCTTTAATTAATCACAATTCGGTGCTAACAGCAGCACACTGTGTTAGAAAATGGACGTATGTATCCTTCAGTTCAAAAACATCTGCCCATTCAGGTGCATTTGGTTCCCAAAGCCCATCAGTCACCTCACAGCATGCATGATTATGTGTGATGGGATTTGTAGTTTAGCAACATTGGTGATCGTACTAGATGTACTCCTAACAACTAGAGCTCATCTTTTCTGGATTTGTTTGCTTGTTGCTTGTATTTTTATGGTAAAACAGGTTACAATAGTGTGCCATATTAGTAACCAAGCTCAGAAGTGCAAAGAGCTGACTGGTTACTAGCAATATGCAGGCTGCTGTTAAATTCTTAACAGGCCCATATTTGACAGAAGGTTATGTGCAATTATCAACTGCACTGTTGTTGTATTTAAAGTAAATTGTAGGCACAAGGCTGCAGCAAGAGTTATCTTCCACTGCAGTGTCAGAAGGCCCTATTATTTGCATCGGTGGCAACAGGGAATTGGGGAGGGAAGGCTTTTCTCCTTTGCTTCTCCGTTGTGTTTTTAACACAAGTCATAAGCGTTCTTCTTAGATTTATTCTCTAGAAATAGTAATTATCCTTTTGCGAGTTCAAATATTCCTGTTCCTCAAAAATGGCAAAAAGCTTGTTTAGAACTCAGCAGAAATCTTGTCACAAAGACCTTCAGATACGTCTAAATAATTTTTTTTCTTTTTCTTTTTTCCGTTTTTCTTTTCGAACAACAGTTGTCCCTTCTGAATCATAAGTGACGTGTGTAACTTGCCTTGGTTTTAAAACAGGGTGTGATGTCCCTTGAAATGGCTACTGCTCAAGAAACTCAGGGCCAAAGACTCCATAGGCAGATAGAACAATTTATGCAGTTCTTCAAATGTTGGCCTCGTTTTTGCAGCACGGATTTGATGAACAGCCTTCTGTAATGCTGCCCTTCTTGCTGTTCTTTTTCCAGTTTCTGGAAAGAGCTGCTTTTGCTGAATTTGAAAATAATTTCCATAGGTGATAATTGTGCTATTTCAGTAAAACACAATAATTTTGTAAATGGTTTTCCTTAGATATGTTTCATGATTCCAAGTTTAATGGGAACCCCTGAACTATTTTTCCACATGTTTTTGAGATTTGTTTAAAATAACTTCTCTGGTTTTTTGTTTTTTTTTTTGGTATATCTTTTATTCTTTGGGACAACTGTAACCCTCTTGTTTAATCAGAGACATGTCCCATGGTCCTTGATATTCCACAGGATCTAAGCAAGAGTTCTCAAATGTTTTAGCATTCTATAAATAATCTTCAATTTGACAAAGGATTTTATTGCATCCTAGGGACGCTGGATTTTGGAGGGCTGTGGTTGGAATGCATCACCTTTCTAAACACCAGACACATACAATAAAGAGCCGGATCAGGGCTATTATTATCCACTCCAATTTCAACCACGCTACCTTTGAAAATGATGTTGCCTTGTTCAAGTTAATGGAATCTATCAAATTCAATGAGTATATCCAGCCCATCTGCTTACCTGACGGTCCTCTTGCTGTAACTGACGAGACTCCATGTTACATAAGTGGATGGGGAAACACAATGGAGAAAGGTAAATCTTTACCTTGATATGCTCTCCCAGAAATGCATCCTAAAACATCTCCTTTGTAGATATAACATTCTAATATGTGAAATGGCTTTCATCTTCCCATTCACATCTTCATAACAAATAATTATAGAGATTTTTCCCACCAGGCAATCCTTTTTGTTTATGCATGTTTTAGAGACAATGTGGTTCCTGGGCTCATTATTGAATTGGCAGCAGCAAACTAGGAAAATCTATCTTCGGAGAATATGTCTTTAAATGTACAAAATGAAAAGAAGAAAGTATTGAGTCTTTAAAATGTGTCAACCTGTAAAAGCTTTCAGTGTTCTAAATATCTCTGTTAGTCAACACATTAAAAACAGATCACCTAGTCTATAACAAAGGCTACATGTACTCTGCTAAACTTAAAAAAAACAAGATTAAAATACTGCTTCAGGACAATGCAAGTTCTGACCAAGAAAAGCTGCACTGCAGAAGTGGTATCCTGCATACAGACGGCATTGTTTGCATAATATATACAGTATTATAGAGCACATTTTTTTCCACAGAGCTTTTCTAATTTGAATATATTATTATGGTTTTGTTCTGTCAGTTACTGAAAATCTTACTCAGTCACATCTTCAGTTTCTTTAACTGGAGAGGTAGACTGATCTTCCAAACAGGTGAAAAATGACAATTCGAGGCAGGTACCACAATTTAGTAGACACTGCACTTTAGAACTAGAAAACTGGATTTCCTTTTGGAAAACAAAGTTGCAGTTCTTAGGAATTCTGGTATCCCCTCCTGCCTATTCAGTTGACAAGAATTTATCTTGGCCATATGCTTTCAAATCCTTCTGGGTCTGAAGAGATGTGTTAACAAGGAAAGCCTCTGTATTCTCAAAGGCTACCTAGACAATCAGAACTCTTTGAGATCAGAGTATCCAAAGTTTCCAGGCCTCTTACTTGGCTCCTGAGGGTGTGGCAGAAGTGAAGGAAGAACAATGTTCTTCTTGTGGCCTCTGTGAATCCACATAAATGGGTTTTACTGCGCCTGCACAGGATTTCTCAGAATATTCTAGAGCTTAAAAAGGCATTATTAGTTGGACGTTGCCCTGTGGCATGCATACTCTTCCCACCCGTATTACCTCAGTTCCTTTTAGCCTCCGCTGAAATCGGACTTCTTGTTGATTAGAGCTTCTTATTGTGATTCTTTCTCATTAATGGTATACTGATCTTTGGACTGTCTATGATTACGCTTTAGGATATGGACTCAAGTTTTTAATTTTCGGACGTTTCCCTCTGAGTTCTTTTTCTTTATTCTCCCCCCCCCTGCCCTTTTTTATGGCCTCCTCAGGCCCTTTCAAGTGCTATGCGACGTGTGCCACTAAAATTCTCTTTTCTGATGGGCACAATCGCTGCTTGTTTTGTTTGGGCAAGAGTCACCAAACTCAGAATTGTCCGGAGCGTAAGAAATTAACAAAACCAGCCCTAAAACTCCAGTTTCAATGGCTGAAATCCCATTTGTGGGAAAGATCTTTAGCTCCGTCCAGTCTACCAACCAGCCCTACTATGGAACTCGCCCCAGTTCCACTGCCTCGGTCTGAATCTTCCATTTCGGTGGCTCCTGCACCCTCACCGAGAGTTTCCTCTAAGGCTGCAAAAGCATAGTCACTATTGGTATTGTTGCCGATGGCCTCCTCAGTTTAGTCTAAGACCCAGTCTACTAAAAAACAAAAAGATAAAGACAAGGCCAAACAGAAAAAGGCAAAACAGCCACCTAAATTCCATCAGCCTCGTGATACAATTGTCAATGTCTTCCCTCCATCTCCCATCCTGGATGAATCGTCAAGGGATGTCCCTTACCAAGGCTCCATTTCTGAGACGGGAGAATCGAGTTTCCCTACTCGGGCGCAAGCTTTGGTCTCCATACCGAGCTTGTCACCAAGTCATGGCCGTTCAGAGATCTACATCGTATCCAGCCTGGCCTTGACCCATTCTAGCCCTGTTTCGACCGGGCGGGCGACCATTATACACCTCTTGAATTCGGAGACATCGATCTCACAGTCCCCTTTGAGAAAGAGGACAACAAAGAGACACCACATCTCTCCACCCCACGGTATCGAGATGTGATATTTGTCCCGTGTCCCTCTAGAAGCTGTGTCTTTCATGGATACAAACAGCCTCTTTATGATGTCAATCGGTATTTTGATTACCTCCGGTATTGATATGAGCAATATGACCCAGCTTTTGCTCCAGAATACTATCAATATCACAAATGTGTATGATACGCTTACGGCCTGTCTGAGTCATTGCTGTCACTATCTCCCATTTGGAATCAACGCTGAGTTAGTATCGAGCCCGTTCCAGTGCTGTTGAAGTCTAAGAAGTCTAAGCACCCTTTGCCTGTCACTGAAGTACCCCTTTGTGACAGAGCTCCAACTCAACACAAGTCATTGTGATCCGGCTCAATCAAAACACTCTTCGATACCGACAACTTTGACTTCACACCAGGATGTCTCCTTATCTGCATGGCATCTCGACAATCAGGTCTCAGCTCCTCTGGTTTCTCTTTCTAGACATCACCATCGTTCTCCCTCACCAACTCTTTCTGTCTCTGAGCAATCTTCTGTAGCAATGGTTTCTGATCAGGATCCTCCCTGATCACCATCACATATACCAACCCCGGATTCTGATGTTGCAGATGTGTATCCACTGTTGCCATCTGAAGTTTTTACTTCTTATGCTCGGCTTATTCTTCGTATGGCCAAATCACTAGAATTGCTTCCCCGAAGCATGATCTTATCTTTGAGGACATAAATCAAGAAAAATCTCCGCCATTAAGCTTAACATTTATCCCAGCAATGATGGATCTCATTAAGGAGTCTTTGGACAAACCTTTGACATCTCTACAGATTCCCAGATGAGTGGAGAACCACTATCATGCTCACGGCACCGATACAACATTCTTGATTAAACATACTCTGCCAAACGCCATCATAGTTCAATCAAATCAATCCAGAGCAGGCAACCGATCCTCAGTTACCCCTATCAATAAAGAAGGGAGAAAACTAGACGTACTAGGACGTCATTTATACTCACTGGCCTACTTTGTGATGAGAGTCTCCAAGTACCAGGCTGTGATGAGGGCCTACCACAGGCAGCTGTGGAATAAGATCCCCTCTATCCTCCAAGCTGCTCCTGGGGACGTCAGAACTGTGGCTCTTAATACCCATCTGGAGGCCACTACTCTAGCCAAGCAGCAATGTCTGGGGTCCCATCACACTGCTTACGCTGCTTCTAAGTCTCTGGTTTCTTCTACCACCCTTAGGTGGCATGAATGACTGCAATCTTTCGGAATCACAGACGATGCTAGGATCCACATCAAGGACTTACCTTTTGACGGCATAGGTCTTTTCAACAAGAAGACCAATGAGGTAATGGAAAAGTTGCATAAAATCCACAAGATGGCCTGACCATATGCCATTCAGCAACCTAGATATCAGCCCAATCAATGGCGTAAGCCTTTTAAAGTTCATCAGTTTTATCAGCATCCCTACCACGCCTACAAACCTCCATCTCAGGCTCCTGAGAGATCTAGCTTTGCTCAGTCATCTTCCACTGCTCCTCCTTTCCGATCTCAGGTCCCTGCTCAGCGCAGACAAGGTTTCTGTCAACCTACAAGGAAAACCAAACAATACCTTTGACTCTCCTCTATGGGACTATCCCGAACATTCCCGACTGGCACCCTTTTTTGACAAGTGGTCCACCATCACCAAGGACACTTGGGTGCTAGCCATCATACATTTCGGTTACCTGTTGGAATTCAAGGAGCTTCCTCCTCTCAGTCATGTCAGATCCACAACATACTCACCTGCTCTAGAGGATGAAGTTACACTCCTTTAAAAGTGCGCTATCCAGAGGGTTCCTCCCCAAGATGTTCTTAACGGCTTCTACTCCTGCTATTTCACCCCCAAAAAGAATGGAGGCCTCCGTCCCATTTTAAACCTGCGACTGTTGAACACCTGCATCCATCCAAGGCGCTTTCGCATGGTCACCCTCGAATCAGTCATCCCTCTGCTTCAACCAGGCAACTGGTTCATGGTTCTACGAGATCTACAGGATGCATATTTTCACATTTCAATTCACAAACAGTCAGACCCACAACATACTCACATGCTCTAGATGATGTTACACTCCTTTAAAAGTGACCTATCCAGAGGGTTCCTCCCCAAGATGTTCTGAATGGCTTCTACTCCCGCTACTTCACGGTCCCCAAGAAGGATGAAGGCCTCCGTCCCATTTTAGACCTGTGACTGCTGAACACCTACATCCAGCCAAGGGAAGGACACTACGTTTGTGCTCCAGACGTTGGTGGATCTCGGCCTGAAAGTCAACCACAAAAAATGTCATCTGGAGCCATCTCAGACCATGGATTATATCGGGGCGCGTCTCGATTCCATTGCAGCCAAGGTATTTCCCCCTCTAGAGAGAATACTCAAGTTAAGGTGAGCTATCTGCCCCTTCCAGCATTACAGCACAGTCACCGCTCACCATACACAGCACCTGCTAGGCTTGATGGCATCAACAACTTTGGTCCTTGAACATGTGAGACTGAAGATGAGGTCCTTACGCATGGTATCTATCCAAATTCGACCCTCTGATATATCATCCTTCAAAGCATCTACTGGTGACTCCAGAACTGGCTGTTCAACTTACCTGGTGGACCTTAGTCCTTCACCTTCTAGTAGGCCGCCCATTCAGGCTGCTCCAACTCTTGGTACAGGTCACACAGACGCCAGCATGACAGGATGAGGGGAGCACACTGTGGTAACCTCTAATCTCATGCAAAGCAAAAACCATGCTGCTTATATACCGCCCCATAGCGCTACAAGCACTCTCCGGGCGGTTTACAATTTTAATTATACAGGCCACTTTGGTCCTTGAACATGTGAGAATGAAGATGAAGTCCTTACGCATGGTATCTATCCAAATTAGACCCTCTGATAGATCATCCTTCAAAGCATCTACTGGTGACTCCAGAATTGGCTGTTCAACTTACCTGGTGGTCCTTAGTCCTTCACCTTGTAGTAGGCCGCCCATTCAGGCTGCTCCAACTCTTGGTACAGGTCACGATAGGATGAGGGGAGCACACTGTGGTCACCGAAAGATTCATGCAAAGCAAAAACCATGCTGCTTATATACCGCCCCATAGCGCTACAAGCACTCTCCGGGCGGTTTACAATTTTAATTATACAGGCTACACATTGCCCCCCCAGCAAGCTGGGTACTCATTTTACCGACCTCGGAAGGATAGAAGGCTGAGTCTACCTTGAGCCAGCTACCTGGAATTGAACCCCAGATCGTGAGCACAGTTTTGGCTGCAGTGCAGAGGTTTAACCACTGCACCACAAGGCATTGTGGTCAAGCTCAGAGAGACTGCTGCACATCAATCAACTAGAACTGCTAGCAGTAATCAAATCTTTCCGAGCATTCCCATTCCTCATAGCTGGTCACGGGGCCCAAATCATCATGGACAATATGACCACCCTGTATTACATCAACAAACAGGGTGGCACCCATTCCTTACATCTTCTCTATCTAGCGATCCAGCTATGGGAATGGTGTTATGATCACCACATCTTTCCAGTGGCTCTCCATGTTGCTACAGAGGACAACGAAGTTGCCAACTGCCTGAGTCGTATTACCACCCAGACTTGAGTAGGCTCTCAACAACACCATCTCTCCCTTCTCTGCAGTTGGTGGGGGACGCCAGGTCTCTACGTCTTCGCCACTCAAACCAACACCAAGTGCAGCAGATACTGGTCATGAGCAGGAATAGGAGACAATTCTCTAGGCGACGCCTTCATGGTAGAGTGGGATGACACCCTACTTTACCTGTTTCCACCCATTCCACTCATTCAGAGGACGATAATCAGGATCCGTCAACTGGATATAGATGCCATTTTGATAGCACCATGGTGGCCTCGTCAACCATGTTTCACCACTTTCAGAGCCATGGCTTCAGACTTTCTCATATTACCACTTCAACCTTCCCTCCTCACTCAGGACGAAGATTGGATTTGCCATCCCGACCTCATCTCTCTACACCTCACTGTGTGGAGAATTCTCCCAATGTGGCTGAAGTCCTGAATAGAGCAAGGAAGCCCTCTACCCAATTATTGTACTCATATAAATGGAACCCTTTCCTCAAATTTGCTGCATTGCAGATATTGTCTATGGTTCCAGTTTCCCTGGACACCCTTCTTAAATTCCTTCATTACCTGTTTGACCAAAGTTTGGCCCATTCAGCGTTAAAAGTTATATTTCTGCGATAGTTTCATACCAACCTGAAGGGTCTGAAGCTTCTCGTTTATTTTCTCATCCTACGTCAAAGAGATTTTTGAGAGAATTACGAAACATGCGTCCACCTACTTGACCTCCACTCCCTCAGTGGTCTCTTCAGGTCGTTCTCCGTGCACTGACTCATCCTCCGTTTGAGCCCATGGCTTCTGTGCACCTCAGACTTCTCTCTGTTAAGACTTGGTTCCTTGTGGTGATAACCTTTGCACGTCGAGCAAATGAACTGGCCGCTCTTCGAGCTGATGCCCCTTATATTCATTTTTTCCGGACACAGATGTGTCTTTCCTTCTCAAAGTGATCTCTGATTTCCATGTTAATCAACCTCTAATCATCCTGACATTATTTCCGAATCCATCTCCACTCCCTTAATGTTCATAGTGCCCTGGCATTTTACGTTTCCAGAACTAAGGAACTAGTTCCAGAACTAAGGAACTAAGGACTTCCGTATTTCTCCCAGACTTTTTGTCTGTTTCCATGGCCCACAAAAGGGTTCTCCTGCCTCCTCACAGACACTCTCAAGGTGGATTGTCTCGGCCATTACGTTGGCCTATGACTTAGCGGGCAAAACTCCGCTAGCGGTGCTAAAAGCGCACTCGGCTAGAGTGATGGCAACGTCTACAGCTTTGTTGTGTGGCGTTGAAATCCCTGACATTTGTTGAGTGGCTACTTGGTCTCCACCCTCGACTTTTGTGGCGCACTATCGTCTTGACGTCAGGGCCAAGAAGGAAGCAAGTTTCAGAAGAGCTGTGCTGACTTCATTGTTGGTGTGATGACTCTCCTTCCAGTAAGTGAGCTTGCTAGTCACCCATTTGTGTGGATTCACAGAGGCCACAAAGAAGAAAGAGAGTTACTTGCCTGTAACCATGGTTCTTCAAGTGATCCTCTGTGAATCTACACATCCTACCCAGCCTCCCCACTGTCTGTCACTTGTTGTCTTGAGCTTTGTGATAGTCAGAGCTTTGACAGTGACAGACATTCGGAACTGAGGTGATATGAGCGGGCAGAGCATGCACGCCACAGGGCAACGTCCTACTAATAATGTCTTTTAAAGCTCTAGAATATTCTGAGAAGTCCTGCGCAGTTGCAGTAAAACTCATTTGTGTGGATTCACAGAGGACCACTCGAAGAACCATGGTTACAGGTAAGTAACCTCTCTTTCTTGTTCCATCTTTTTAGTTCTCAACTCCCAACATCAGAAGAGTGATGCACAGCTTTCCACAGGGATTTGGAAGGGGGAGGAGTCAAAATCAAAGCTCTCTCCGTGACCTTAGAGAGAGAAGGATGGCAATACTTTCATGGCCCTCGGCACACTTCTCAGAGGCCATTGGAGGGCACTGAAAATGGAGCAACAAGCATAGAGACACAGCCATTAGCCAAGAGCAAAACTGTTTAATTTAATGCTATCACATTATTCCAGATACTGTTTTCAGATATTTCATCTAAAGGTGCTTAGTCAGGTTAGCCAGCAATTCGACGTTGTGGAAGCAATTGTCCAAAGTACCTGAAGGGCAGTGGATTTCCAAAGGCTAGTACTTCCCTGGGCCAGAATATCTACCTGTCTTGTGCTTTTAATATAAGAAATTAAAAGAACCTTTTAGTGGAAAGATTTAAACAGAGGGAATCGTATACATTTTTATACATAATGAATACAGTACAGCTGAACCTGCTATCTCTTCGCTATGACTTTTATGTTTTGAGAGGCTAATGTTGGTCTGTTGCTACTTTCTGCCAACATGAATGAAATATTCTTTAACATATCTTTGTCAGAAACTACAGGGAAAAGTCAATCTGCAGTCTAACTTTCATATAAATAGCGAAAGGTATTTTGGACAGAGTCATATTAAAGCTTAGTGTAAGCATCCCAAATGATGGCTTACCTTACATCTAACATTACTTAGCAATGACAATAATGTTTGCATTCATTTTACTATCTTTACATGAAACTGCACTCGCTACTACCACTGCTGGAAACACAGAACATTAAGAGTAACAGTCCTGTACACTTGTTACTACCACTGCTGGAAAGATAAAAGAGTAACACAGAACATTAAGAGTAACAGTCCTGTATGTAAAGTGCTATATATACATAGAGACTAGCAAAGAGAATTTGCTACAACTTCAAGTTGCTGTGAACCTTGTTTTAATCTTACTCTGGCAGCCAACATACCTTCTCTTGACCACATACATGGAAGCTGTGGATCCAGGAGCCATCGCTAATCAGCATGTTTGCATGTTGACCAATATATTAAATAAGAGAATCATATTCAAGCTTTTTCCTGATTTTCATTATAGGTAGACACAGAGATATATTGCAAGAAGCACAAGTTGATATTATTCCATTAGCTGTTTGTAATAGCCATGACTGGTACGGAGGAAAGATAAAAGATGATATGCTCTGTGCTGGCACTGAAAGTGGAGGTATTGATAGTTGTCAGGTAAGCAGAGATGCATTGTTTTATTGTAATGCATGCTATTATGTAGATGTTATATCAAATGGTGATATAAACTGTGTCGTGTATCAAACAGGTGAGCATTACTCTTCTCAAGAGCAGTGTGCACATAATTGCGGTTACAGCATTGTCCACATATTGGATCGACCTGCTTCTACGGTCTAACCAAAGCAGAATTACCCAGTTTAGAGTTCAAGAGAAAGCAGTCTTTTCTTCTGACAGTTTATGAGAGGCATATCGTAACGCTTGCAGTACATCCAAATGCTTTGAAATAAGACGAGCAGCACTTAATCTATTTATTATTTATTTACTTACTTGCTTGCAGTAAATCCAAATGCTTTGAAATAAGCAGCACTTAATCTATTTATTATTTATTTATTAGACTTCTATACTGCCACTTTAGTGCAATGCAATATTCTGGGCAGTATACAACTTCAGCCATTTATTGTGTGTTTCATGTTCCAGGGAGACAGTGGGGGACCTCTCATGTGCTATTTCCCAGATGCCACCAAATACTACCTGATAGGAATCACCAGCTTTGGTTTTGGTTGTGGCCGGCCAAAACTTCCAGGAATTTATGTACGCACTGCCCATTACAGAAGCTGGATAAATTCACAAGCTATTCTATTTGACAAAGCCTCCACTATGAAGGTTCCTCGTGTTCTCATCTTGTTGATTGTACAGTGGGTAATTTTCCATAATGTTCTGTGAAAAAGAAAAACCTCCATTGTTCTGGAATGACCTCAAATTGCTTTTCAAAATTATTAGTTCATGGTGTAACAAGTACATTTAGCACAATTTATTATTTTTACAACATGCCATATAATCCTATTCTTTGCTTTCCTGTCAAATCGCTTGTGTAGTACAATATAGAGAAGGTCTACATGACAAATATGAGATGTTGCCATTGCACTTTAAAACAAAATATATATTTCATTTCTATGCAGAGAGCATATTTGGAATTCAAATGTTAGTATGTGGTATTTCTTCAGATCTCGTATTCCCAAGCAATAGAGACCGAGGGGAGGGGATATAATTGTTCATTTTACACACATTGAGCCTGTCAGCATTTGCTCACAATTGGTTCCATCTTTGTGGGATCTGTTTGGTTATTTTTTTACTGCAATTGTCAGATGTACCAATTTCATGCAAATCCCAATATCTAGAATGAAAGAACACTGAGCACAGAGTACCATGTTTTAAGTGTCTGAATAGAACAGAACTCACAGACCCTCAACATCCATATCCATTCCTGATTGAATTATGAGTTACTGGTGAGGTCCAGAGATTTAACCATCTAAATACTGAAGTGACAACCATAGTTAACAATAACGGAATCTACAGCCCAAATCCTATTGCTGCTGTGTGCAAGTTAATTTGCCTAATTCCTCATAATGTGTTTCCTGGCATGTGCCTCACTGCACAATCAGGCACGTGACCGTCACCTTATAACTGAGCAACAATTTGTCATCAAGACTTACGCAACTTTCCTTAGACAGGTATAAATCAGATATTTGGATTTTGGCTTCCATTACTCTATAACTATTACAAGATAGGTGAGCAACTAGTATGACCAGTGCACACAAATAGTTACATCATTATCCCAGGTCTGGGAGGTACTTTGTTAACATTTAGCTGTTATTGGTCCCAAATATAAGAAGCAACACTAGATGCCTGCAGGTGAAACAGTTTATGTTTGCCTCCATATGAACAATGTCATGAAGCACTGTTGAAAACTGGTTTCACAATAGAAACAGCATAGCTGTCTGGGTATCTGCATATAACTGGATTGTGCATGAATAGCACAGAATCCCCATGCCTGAGACTTTTTGTTGTATATGCCCTTGTCAGATTTAAAGTCAAAAGTCACAAGCTTTTACATAAAAATTATTTACAGAAAAGGAAACTAGTAGTATTGCGTGCTTGTTTTGGATTGAGGCAGAGATGTTGGGAAGTCTGAGTCCGAGTCTTAGAGTCCGTGTCCCAAATCCAAGTCGCAAGTCCCCACCTGGGGAATTCTGAGAGTTGTAATCCCCCCCAAAATCCCAGTAAGGTTAAAAAAAAACTGTGTTGCTTCCTTGGCTCCTTGGCTGTTTACTGCCTGAAAAACACTCTTCCTCCACAGATTAAAAGATTTTTTT